TTTACCAGTTACTTTCAAAGCCAACAAAGAATCCACGGAAAATGACAAGACATTAAGAGAAGTTAGTGGTTACCTTCTCACCTTCAATAGTAAATTCTACAATATTTTCTCCGACACGACTCACTCATGATAGTCGATTCCTATATTATGCTTGGTGACAGAATTGTTGTTCCAAAAACATTACGCCACAAGGCTCTGAGACAATTCCACAGCGGTCATCCCGGCATCAATAAGTTGAAAGCGTTGGCTCGAAGCTATGCTTACTGGCCTACAATGGATCAAGATATCTAAACCAGATGCCACAATTGTTCGTCGTGCCTGCAAGCAGCTAAAAGTCCAAAGAAGTGTGAACCACAACAATGGGAAAAAAGTAATAGTCCCTAGGAGAGGCTGTGTGCAGATTTTGCCAGCCCAGTACGAGGAAGAATGTTTCTAGTCATAGTGGATGCACACACAAAATGGTCACAAATTTATGCCATGGCAAATTGCACAGCAAGTGAAACAATTAGCAAGTTATCTGAACTGTTTAACTGCTTTGGAGTTCCGGAGAATTTAGTGACCGATAACGGTTCACAACTCACTGCAGTATCATATACGCTCTCCATCCTATCACCCTCAATCAAATGGACAGGCAGAACGCTTCGTGGACACATTCCAAAGAGAACTACTGTAAGAGGAAGGCGAGGACAAAAGTCAGGTAATTACGAAATTCATAACAGCTTATAGAAATACGCGTAACTAACTACGTCTAACTTAGGTCGGTTCATGATTTCAATCGAAAACAAGGAAGAATAGGTCAAGAAATAATATCAAATTAGTTGTATTTCACACTTACTTAAATAAAATTAATTTCACAACTCAGCTAAGGTATATATGTTAATTGTTAGATATGAGTGAATAATAAGTGAAAAAGATTGAACTTTCAAAACTATTCTACAGGGAGTTATTTTTATGTACATTCATTAAATGTTTCAGGTTACGGTATTTTATTGTTGTCCTAATCGTAACCTGTCATTTAACAGTTGGTATATGTTTTTGATTGTTTAATAAACTATTACTTATTAACTATATTTATGTTTTATATATATGACCTACTTATGTACCAGTTATGATTTTTAATACGGGGTTGTGGAGATTACTAAGTTTTGATTGAGATCATGAACTGATTGATGTTAGATCACCGGTGAAAACCTAGAAGCACTGGATGGCCGTTTCGTTATAGCATGGGACCCCTCAGAAGTGGGCACCAACGATTCCGCACGCGGGACTCGGACCCAGGGTCTTCGGTCTCGCGCGCGAACGCTCAAAATCTAGACCACTGGGTCAGCATCCAATGATGTTAATGTCTAGCCTCAACCAATCCATGAAATTGCGCGACCATCTTCCATTGTCCGAGGTAAATACCTGTATCTGCCTGACACGGATTAGCTCCACTGATCACGGCTTCTCACTAGAACTCCGAGAATTCCCTCATGAAACTAGTCACTAGTGAGCACATGGTAATTATATATATATGGATCATTATGTGGGCCAATAGACGTTAAGATATCTAAGCGATTTTGCGGTGTCGGCCATTTGTGTTATTGGCCAAGCCAAGATCATTCGTCCGATTGACGTTAGGTGAAGTCCTCGTTAGTAGAATGTTAGAACTTAGTGACCATATCGGAGTTGAATCCATAAAACTAGTACCAATTACCTCTGGATGAAAACCTTCGCAACTCTAGTTGGGCAACTTTGTTATGTTATTCTTACTAAACTTACAGGTAATACAAGTCTGACACATCATAAATAGTCAGTCATAAAATGTACGTAATTAGGATGTTGATCGTACAAATTTACCGTAATAGGTTCAAAATTTGCAAAGGTAGCTTTCATAATAAAAGCTGAGCAGTAATGCACATAAATCATACGCTTATGTAAGTTATCTTAACTGATTCAAAAACTAGGTATGTGAGTGGTAATTTTGGCCACGTGAGTAACTCAATCACCCATAAAAAGTTCATGGGCACTCGTTTCTCTCACCTACCATGTGACCTAGCGCGGCACGTGATCTATCTCGCCATAAATCACAATTTGTTATGACTACAAATTCTTACATACCCACTTAATTGGGTCGTTCAATTATAGTATTCCGACCAGATCAATGATTTTCTCTCTAGCCAATATCACAATTAGCCGGAAATCCTAGATTTTATTAGTTCGAGTAGATTCTTGTGTCCCAAGTGCCCAGTCAGAACACCAAGAAAGCAAATGAATTCACCTATGATTGCATTGCCATCATGACTCAACAGCTTGGAGAATTACATACATCAATTACACAGGCATAAAACAGCTCAAGCAGGAAAATACAATATGTACATAACTAGGTCATACGTGATATGTGCATAATCGATTTCATTCAAATCGTTAATAGATTTAATTTACACCACCATTGAAAATCTGGAAGTATTGGACGGCTGTTTCATCCCAGTATGGGACTTCTCAGCAGTTTGCAACCACAATCTCTCAACAAGGTACCAAACCCAGGATCTTCGGCCTCGTGTGCAAATGTTTAGATCCTAGATCACTGATCTACCATCCAACGGTGCTTATGTTGAACTTCAATTAATACACGACCATCTTTCATTGCCTCCGGTGGGTAACTGCTTGACATCCAAAACTGACTAGCTCTACCGGTCACGACTTCTCACTAGAACTCCGATTATTTCCCTTGGAGATAATCACTCGTGAGCACATGATAATTTTTAGTCACGAATATTTGCTGCTGAGGAGTCCCAATGGTTGCCCAACGCTCCTAGATTTTCAATGATTGTCTAAGATCAATCCATGATTTCATCAAAATTCAATGAACAACACAACCTCATACTGAAAAGTATGATTAATTAATAATGATTTAAATACGGTAAGATGTATGACAATAATTACCAAGTTAAATGAAGGATCATAATTAGGAAAACGTAAAAAATGCCGTTACACAAACATTTACTAATTAAGAACGAATCAAGAGAAGAAATTTCTTTCTAATTAGTTTTGCATCACAACTACGCTAATATATGATTTACAACAATGCAACAATACTCATCAAGTAGTTACGTAGCGGAATAATTATATAGGGAGTAATATTGTTAACCTGCTTAGTAGAAATGGATGCCCAAAGTAATTCATCAACAAACACATGAAAGAGATGAAAAGAAAACCAAATTCATCTACCGTCTCGAAGAAGGTGCTGTTCAAAAAATCGTAATTCCTAAGTGATGCTACTGAGGAAATTGTGACTCAAAGGTTAAGAAAGGAGGTACAGAAAATATTTAATGCAGCCAGACTCAGTGTCGTTTTCTATAACTGTCCCATAATAAGAAACGTTGATAAAGACAGACTACCTGAATTCGCCACATCCATTTGTATCTACTAATTTAACTGCTTCGGTGGAGCCAATTATATAGGACGTACAATTAGGCAAGTTTGTCATCGCATACCAGAACACCAACCGTCTTGGTTGAATAAAGGACAGGTAAGAGTGATTAAGAGTTCTATTCTCGCTCACTTGGTGAACATAGGTTATCAAGTTGATCTGAATAAAACACTTAACGTTATCCACCATATTCCATCAAATTTACTGCAAAGCTTTACGAGTTTGTCTTTTGCACATTGCTGAAGCTATCAGAATCTATGTTCACAAACCAAACATTTGTATCCAAAAGAAGTTTGCACAATTAATCTCTCTGCCTTGACCATCAGCATAGGAGTGAGCATGTAGCTGAACTTTGATGAAACCCTTTCCTCCAAAAATATTTAAATTATTTTACTCCACTTTTGTATCATAACACTATTTTACCTACAGAAATGACCAGGTTTTCATTGGTCGTTAAACAAAAATGTTGCTGGAACTCATGTTCACTAACTTCTATACATTATCAATCTTCTGTGATTGGAAGTAATGGGTAGAAAACCTTGGATTCAGATTTCGGGTTAGTAGGTACTCGTCTGCAAGGTATATCTTGCGACAGAGTTATCCCCCGGTGATAAGATAATCAAACATTATTTATGTGAAAAGAATCGCGTAGCTACTTGCATTTCAGTAGTTAAGAAGCTACTGTTATAAACCTAACCGAAGGTGTATTGACTTGTACTAAATCTTATTTCAAGAAACTTACTTCGGTCTCCATTACTGAGTAGTAGTGCTCAGAAAAACTAATTGATGCCCAACTGTCGAATAATGAGCATCTGGTTCATAGCTAGACTGAGAATATTCATCATATCAAAGTTAACTGGTGTCAGGTTTATCGTTGGAACTGATTTATACTACTTACATAAAAGTGAAAGAATCATGTTTACCAGGCTTCAAATTAATTTCAACTGAATTTACAGAACACATTTCAATATAATGATCTCTTACCACAGATACTTTTACAATATCAATAGCTTATTATGTAATTGTAGACATAAACATGGTCAACAATGTAATAAACCTACAACAACTTAAGCATACTGTCTTTCCGATCGATGTAGGTCTGTCATAGGGTAGTGGAAACGAAAGACACTCTCTACCCCCTACACTGAGAAATTTAATTGACTTATGGATTGAAAATTGAAGTATAATTCACGCACACTACGAAAACGTCAAGTAACACGCACAAACACACAGACAAATGCAAACAAGAATCGTCTTTATATTGAGACTCAATCAGACTGAATTTAATTCAATTAATGATCTTGACCTTATTCATGCATTACTAAACATCACAACAAGTTAGCAACGTTGCATCATCCTATTCGCTTATAATACAAAGTGAATTATTTATAATAATTTGTGACCAATGAGTCAATCAGAAGAAATAAAGCTATGACCTAGTGGTTAAGGGGTTTAAAACATTGAACTGCCCCAAATGTTTCAGATATGAACTCTTCTATATATACTTCGATTTGAGCAATTTGGTAGTAGTATGATTAGATCTCTTACACTTAGAATGTGGCTGATATTCAGTCAGAAGACCAAATAATTATCTAAGATAATAAACACTTTATTTAAGCAAACAAACAAACAAAAATACAAAAAATACGAAAATCTGCACTGTAAAAGTTTTTGTTCTTTTTGTTGTTGTAGTTTTTTTTCGAATAGAAAACAATTGCATACAAAAAAAGATAATTAAAAGTTGTTGTTTTTCTAACGTTTACGTATAGTATTTCCGGCCCAATCAATTTTATTTGTATTTTTTAAGAAATTTAATCCATCTTCAAAATTTTCACGTGTAATCATACGTTCAGAACGTGCACGTAAATCTTCTAGTACACGTGAATAAACAAAAGTTAATACACGAGGACGTTCTTCAAGAAGTGACCATATTGCCATTGCCATTTCTTCACGTCGTTTACGTACACTACTACTGATACCTGTTGAAAAAAGAAGAGTGAAAAAAATGAAAAACAATCGAGGGGAAGGATGAATTTTGATAAATATTGTATAATAGTGATCTGTAAGGGTAATATTGTATTATATTTCACTAAAAGTAATGCTTATAATGTAGTCTAAGAAAATGCTTTAAAATTTATACCTCATGAACTGACATCAGTTACATAACCTTAGAAAATCAGGAAGCATTGTACAGATATTTCTTTTTAGTGCAAAACTCCGCCGGAGTGAGCAACCAAGAAGCCGGGACATGCAATTAGCCTTTAGACTAATGAGTCAGTATTTAACAGTTTACACGTCTAACTTCAGCCGATTCGTTATATTGTACAAACAACTTACAATGCTATTGGTGGGTTAGTGCATTACAATCACCAGTTAGTTATGGCTTCGCAATAGAACTTCTGGAATTATTCATGATTAACTACAATATTATCAGCATATTGGGGTTTCTGGAAATTACTGAATTTTGATTTACATTAAGGACTAACCTTAGTTGTATAACCTCAAGGAGTTCACTCTGTTCCTGGTAGGATCGTGGATATGCAATGATGGGGACGATACTACGATGAAAAAGTTATTTAATGCTACCAGGTTTCAAATTATTCTTTAACTAAGATCATATCTATACTTTCGGATGAAATGGTAGACTAGCCTTAATATATTTGATTACAACTATAATTTATTAACTACTATAAAACAAACACAAGATAAGTTTATAGGACAGATTAAAATATTATGAAAATTTAAATGGATATTAATTTTGCAATTAAATCTAGACTACTGTTTTAAGTAGTTAAATGTTGTATACCTGTTGTTAAAATATTGATATCGATAGTACCAGTAAGCGGATCAATAGCTGCTTGTTTTAACGCTTCACGTTGTAAACGTCGAGCTTCACGACAATCATCAGCCGTAACATGATTTGATAATCGTAAACGAGCATGAGCTTCAGCTAAACGTACAAGTGATTCAAGTTGACGAGGATATGCGGATATCTTATAAGGTTGGTATTAATAATAATAAATATGGAAATTATAAGTTAATTACAAGAATAGATGAGAATAAGAAAACAAAACAAATTCATTTCAATTATGTAATAGATCCTGAGAATGAAATAGAATAGAAATGTAATAATACAACATAAGAAAGTCTTATGTATACCTTATAAGTTAAACTAGATAGACTAATGGTGAGAATAGCAAAGTTTATTACAGTATAATACATAGTGATATTAAAACTTGTGTTCGTCTTATCAGGTATGAAGTACGTTATATGAAATTATAATTTCTGTATTAGACTGGAAGTCAAGTTAGGAACAATAACGGGGTAGATTGTATGCATATAGCACACAACTATCTTTGAACTTTGCACACTGTTGGAGAGATATCAAGTATTCCTCGAAAAAGTCCAGAACGGCTCCGGAAATCCCGGGAAACATTTTATCTAATCATCGTTGAACAGAAGTTTCTCGGACATATACAGAAAGTGAAGGTTCGCGAGTCACATTTCTAATTGGATGGTGATCTGTCCTGCTACTATGTTTAGTATGGTTTCAGAAGCCTAAGGCCATCTGAAATACCATAAGTACTCTCGGTTTTCTGTACATAGCCTAACCTTGGAGTAAAGACCTTTTTCACATTACGCGCCGTTTTTCTCGTGTAAATTTAGCCTTGGGTTATTAAAGAGCTTAGGAAACCGATTCAAGTGTTCAATAAGAAGACTTGTCACACAAAAAAATAACGTCATGCACTGTCCCATCCCCCTTAGTAGATTAGGCGATCCAAGTCACAAAAACACCTGATGGGCGGCTGTGTAAGTGGGAGTAGAATTCATCAAACTGTTTCAATATTTTTGGATAAATATTGTAAATTTGAATAACCTACAGCCTTTAAAACGCTGGTAATCTGTTTCTAAAACAACTCTAAACATTTAAACGATAAACTGATTATAGCTAAAAATGGAATGCGGGATGTACATTTCATTTTATTTTGGCATTCGTCAGCTGAATATGCCTGCATCCCAGTGTCACTTTGCACTCCCGAAAACGAACTTAATGCCATCTGATTTAAACACCAACTCATTATCTATTGAGTTACTGGGTTCATAATCCAATTAACCTAATTAAAGGATATGGTATTTATTTGTAGGGGTTCGAGTCAGTATATTAGCATCAACAGTAGGATGTAGGCACATCCAAATGACGAGATCCAAGTAAGATGAAACGTGCGTCTTAGATTTAACTGCTAGCCACAATCTACTTATTCTATAAAAACTGTGATAAAATGGTTATATTGAGGCTATCAGAACAGCATGCACATATGCCACCAACAAACACCGGTTGAAATTGAGTTCTGAGTATTAAATTCTATAGACCTATTTTTAAAACATGAATAGAATGAGCTTGGATTTTGTTAAAGGTATGTAAGTGAATGTCATTTGACAGTTGTCTGAATAGTAGAAGGATATTTCTTCTAGAGCTATCTGGAAAGAAAACTGGGTAAAGGGTGATCTGGATAAACTAAGAACATGAATGCATAGGCTTTAGGCTGGTAATGCACTGGCCTTTGTGAGAAGTTGTAAATGTATTAGCTTCCTACTTTTCAGATCCTACCTCAGGTGACGGAAATTTGTGGGGTAAGGTGAAGTGTTTTAGTCTTATAGTTCAGATTTTAACCCCACTTTCATTTGTGAAAAGATATCATGGATGGACACGTTTATTGTCCGCACGAAACATCATACTGCTATTAAACCCAAGTACCGTTGGCAGTACAAGTACAGCGGACTGTATATCTGTTACTTTGGTTTCACTGCCATCCCGTTGACCTGTTCAGAATAACAGAACTTCAAGAAACAAGAACTCCAACCAATGTAGGAGGATTAAAAATCCAAACTTTGAAATAGCCTTTGATGAACGGGGCTATACGACCTGAACATGTGATGATTTTTAAGAATAATTCCAAGTTAAAACGAAGCCAAGGAGTAGTATTGATCCTAGCATGTTCTCCTAGTTTTTTGCATCTCTCGTAACAACAAAAGCTGTAACTAACTATTAAAACAAGTGGAAAATCGATATTTTTAGTTTACACCACGAACTAATCATAGTCAGACAACTACTGAAAACCAGTCCAAACATGGGACTTTTCAGCAGTACTAACCTCGAGATCTGGGTCAGATCCCCAGTAAAATGGTGGGTTTACATTTCTAAGGAGCCCCACACTAAGACAAAACAGCTTTCGAATGTGTCCTGTTTTCTAGTGGTTGTTTAAGTAAGATCAGTCCATGATGTGAACTATGAAATTCAGCAATCGCCAAAACGGCCGATAATAAGAATCAATATTTAGAGGACCTGTGATAAAAAATTATTTTGTATTGTAGTCTTTAAAAGTATATAAGTTAACTGATACAACACTGATGACATGAAAAAGTGGTGATGCAATAAATTAATCATTAAGTTACCTGTCCACGACCTGAACCCAGTTTTCGCATTTCTACATACTCACGAACTAAATATTCACCGGCTTCTTCCGTTAGTTTGGGAAAGTACTTCATCTTAAACATAAATTAAGGTGGAAATATCATTTTATTGGTTATTATTGTTACTAGAGATTACTAAGAAAATCTGCCTTAATTTGTTATTGAACATTTTACGGTTCTGATGAAGGACTTAATATGAATGCTTATTAATTCTAGAAGAATGCCTAGGGAAAAAATAGATTGACACGCTGGGCTAATCGTACATACAGCAAATGATCATGAGATGCTGACAGACGCAAACCCTACTGGTTAAGATTTGGCTTCGTTATCTGAAGGACATACATCTACGTTTAAGAATGTGTTGTGGATATATATTCTCGATTCGGTTAACTAACAGAATCTTCCTACTTACTCCCGGTTTTTTCACTCAAGTAGTTCATTAAACTGGCGTATAAGAAGCACATATATTAACAGCAGAATTAAACGGCCACAAAACATAATATGGACAAAACAGTTTGCCATAAAATATGATGCGATCAAGTGCTCAAGTAAAGGAATTTCAACATATTCATGCGATTTATTAATATACCTTTCACTGATTGAAAAGAACTCCCGATTAGTAAAGTCAAATGCATCGTCCAAATAAAAAAGACATATGATTACAATCGATTATCAGTTAGTAGGGGTATATATTTGCAAACCTATTGAAGAGGGAATACTCTATTTGTATTACGCGAGACAATAATTTAAGTAAAATATGTTTTGAAATCACCGACCGCCAAATACCCTGGCACAACCGAGGGTTGGGAAAGTCACCTCTACCTCTCAAAATGCTCTCAAATGGCCACGCATATACACACATTGATAAGGAAGTCCTACTCACCGCCTTCTCGTAGCGGGGGTGTTGTCCACGAAACTGAGAGGACGAAAAGCGAATGTTTGGTGCTTTAACCGGTTTGGTGGATATGGAGGGCCCACCTAGGGGAGTTAGAAAACTCTGATTTCAAACCAATGGTGCATAGTAGTAATTTTAGATAAAAACAGTATTGTATTAGTTATTATTCAGTGACTAATGCTCTTAAAGTATGAAATGAGTACAAACGATTTCAATTGGTAAAAAAAACCTTGTAAGGTATTCAATAAACATATCTTTTAGAAACATAGGATATACTTAACTGTTAAGGTAAGCATAGAATTATTAAAACAGATTTTCTATTTGAACTCATTACTATTCATACTACAAGGCCTCTCTGTTTAAATGTTTGGGGTAAATTTCACTGAAAGTTGACTGTGTCTACCTTAAGGATTAAAATTTGTAAGTGGTACAACAATGAATACCTTAGCATAGGCTATATAATCCTTCAAGAGTTTCCCGTTTACAAATGATGGATCATCATCAGTTTGACTATCCATGTCCAGTAGAACAGCTCCTGGACGCGGTCTACGTGTACCTCGAGTATTATTATTACTGTTGGTTGGAATATCCTGACTGCTATCAATCTGACTTGGAGTAGTACCACGATAATACAACCCAACCAAATGTCTGGCTAATCTTGTATCATAAACTTCATCTTGTGGATCCAATATAAGAAAAATGAGATCGAATCTTGATAGAAGAGTATGAGGTAACTAAAAATAATAAAAAAAACATAAAGAAACGATGCAATAACTAGGTCAACAAGTTACTAAGAAACAACATGCTAATGAACAAAATAAATTATCATTTTAAAGCCTCTCCCCAGTTGCCACGGAACGGTTGAAGAGAGCCCATTCTTCTTATTAAAATGCTCTCATACACCTAGATGTTCGTAGCAAGTATCAGAGGTGTCTTACTCACTTTATTCACGTGGTGAGGTTGTGCTTTTTACGAAAGTGAGAGGAAGAGAAGTAAAGGCCCTGTGTTTAAACTTGAATGATGGATACGAAGGATCCACCTAGGGAGGCTGGAAAACCCTGATTTTAAACTAGTAACATACATGGGCTTTAGGATCCCTGATAGAAGATACGTTTCAGAGTTAGAGTAATTTTGTACCGAAATTTTTTGCGTCTTATGACCAGATGATATTTAAGAATAATATTTCTCATGTTTGGGTTTCAGTAATTTAAAATTCAAATCTGAACTGACAGATATGAATCTAGAGTCAGACAGCTGACTCCTGATTACACAGGATAAGTGGAAAACGGGATATAGTCGGACTCGATTCATTGATGAAGTGATACCTATTAACGCTGAATATCGTGTAAGTAGTTTATTAGTTTCGTTAGTAAGTTACGAATTTCGGTATGTTAATGAAAAATACTTTATATATGTGCTCCCAATCCTAACGTAGTAGCATTTGGCTTTTATCCAGCTGTTTGATACAAAAAGAAAACGGTTTTCCATCTCTGATACTGGTTAAGATGATTTAAAATAAAGCACTTCAACAACAAGACTCTTTTAAGTTCAGTATAGATTAATACAGAGGAATATGTGAAAAATTCCTGAAGTTATGTATTATTTTATAGTGACAGATAAAATAGCAAATTAAGTTATTTCCCATATCAAGGTAATGCTCAGTCAAATAATTAAAATAAAAGAATTCATATGATATACATTGTCGAAACTTTTGTAAATTAATATTATTAATGTAATCAGTTTATAGAAATTATTGAATTTGATAGTTGATAACACAGACTGAACTTAGATAATCATAGTAAATCGGGAAAAACTGAGTAAAACTGTTTTGTCTTAGCATGAGACTCATCAGTGCGTTGCATCCACAATCCCATAATGGATCAGTTACTGGACCCTTGCGTTTTAACACCAAGACAACTGAGATGATATTGAATGACCTATATCTGTTGTGTCATTGGTGCGTAACTGACTCACATTCAAAACGGATGAGCTTTACTAGTGGAGAACTGATTGGTTATAGACGTTAACTCAAAGATCTAAATATTAAGCACTCGCCATGAGACCTGAAGATCCTGGGTCTGATTCTAGGCGATGTTGTGCATGCGCTTTGTCGAAGAAGTTCATATCAGGATGAAGAGTCTATCTAGTCTTCTTTAATTCTCAATAGCTATTCAACTGAGGTCAGTTCGCGATGCTACTACTTAAGAAAGTTAAGTATAGTTACAAGAAGAATTCGATAAAAAATGGAGCAGTTACCTGTATATTGTCAATAATCGTTTTGCTAGGATCCCATTTAGAACCGATTGGATTAGCAGCTGCTAAAATTGAAGTCCTAGCATGAAGTTGACAAAGAATACCAGCTTTAGCAATACTTAGAGTTTGTTGTTCCATTACTTCGTGTAGTACAGAACGAGTTGAATCGGACATTTTGTCGAATTCGTCGATACAACATATCCCATTATCAGCCAACACTATAATTACGTTATGATGAAATAAATAAATAATATTGAAAATTTTCAAAACAAGGATAACACATATCTGATCGTAGGAATCAAAAGAGCAACATTATATATTAACGGAATTGTGAGAGCAAGTAGTAGTGTACGTGCAGTTCTGAGGTAGGATTTCATCTTAAATTTACATTCGTGTAATAAATACATTAATTCATGAGAAGTGAACCTTACTTTAGAGCTACAAACGCTTAGTGTAATTGTATTCACTCGGAAATGAGATTGGAAATAATGTAATTAGAAGAAAAACAATGAAATTATAGGTTAATAAAAGATGGTTTAATGAGAAAAAATAACCGCTGTTAATTTCATTTAGTTACAAAGTATCATCTTACTTTCATGAATATAACAGACAACTCCACTTATTTCTATTCTGAACCATGTCTGATTTGATCTTTAGGAACTCACTGGGCAATGATAGACCGACAGACACTAGTCTTATGCGGTTATCCCTCACTTTACAACGCCATATTATGAATTGGGACATCTCTACCTTTCCATCTAGCTGAGGTGTTGAAAATTGATGAGCGGTATGAAAGCGGTTGAAATAACACTTGCGTAACATAACCAAATCAATTAAGTGGGCGGTTCAAAATAGTGATATCAATTAACTCCTCATTATTATACCTGAATACACATTGCAAGACCCTGGTGTCATTACATCATATAGGGAATACTTCAGAAGCAACGATGATAGAGCTCGTAAAGTACGACTATTTGCACCGAAACTTTGAATACCTGGCCTTTGCTTTTCAACGATATCTAACAGCTTTCCCCAAAGGATGATTGCAAATACAGGCACATTTTAGTCTTGTAGAACTATATTTCATCTTGAAAGTAGAGAGTACACATCATACTTAGAGATACTGATTGTTAACTAACTCAACAGAACCCAAGTAGCTTGCATATCATTGAGAGTCACTATTCGTAAAATCCAAGTCGGGTTTTTTCCAAATAGCTGACACTAATGACCATATTACACGTTGAAATCACATGAACAAAATTTGCTGATAAAGGGAAATTAGCTGAGGTAAGTATAATATTGTAAACAGTAAAGCTTCTGGTAACTTATTAAAAGACAAAGAAACACAACCCGAGGAGAATGGGAAGTTTTAAACTAAATGTGCTTTAAAGGTTCAGTTTAAATGTATAAATGAATCAAACTTGGAGATGATTAAGCAATTGGGTGTCAGAACTGTTTGATAAACGTAAGTTGTTTTTTAAAAGAGAAAACTGATAATAGGAGAAATGCAATGTAGTGATTCCATGCATATTCGTGTAGTTGGTAGTAAACTGTATATGTTTTATGGCAGTTAGCTGCAACAAATGAATCCTTTAGTCAAGGTAAGTGAAGTTTGCTTCATGAAATAGAGTCTAGATGATTGAACAACAGTTTAGAAGCTTTAAATAATTAAAAGACTAGGAAATTAACGAGTTAACTAGTTCCTGTCAAATTATGGCATGCTGAATTAAGATGTCACGTTTGGATGTTAACGATTAATTAGTGTTGTGGTCAAGGAATGCTAATTATGTGTAAGAAAAATAAACATAATGTTAGCAGGATATAGGTTGGATTTAAGCATGTTCCATAGAAGATTATGTTGGAGAAGGCTTTAAAATCTTTTTTGTGTAAAACTCTGTTTTTCACCGGGATTAATTCCCATCCAACTTGGTTTATGTGGGATATAACTACGTACCTGTCCAAGTTATGTTCTGATTTGGAGGACTAGTCGAGTGAAGTAAAATATCCGAAGAATACTAAGTAATAAGTGTATCTGAGTCGGATAACAAAGGATTTAACACATGAAAATAACGATATATGATTACATGTAATTTTAACGAGCCAACTACACATTTGCAGGTATTGGTGAAATGATACCAAGTCTGAACATAAAGTATCAGGTCTAAGATCCGTTATCTGAATGGACAAAGTCAGTTAACTTCACACACAAGGGTTAGAGAATGCTTTAACACTTATCGGCTACACTAAGAATAAGAAAAAATCGAGATCATTTAGAAATAAATTGTAAAATAAACAAAGTTTCTGGAAGTAAGAGAGCGATTAGCTTGATGAGGCAATTAGTTTAGAAACTTTGATTGATGCGCATTTTCTGCTACTTTCTACTCGTTGTCTACAATGGACTGATTGGCTATGATTTAGAAATATTTGAATATATTTATTCGCTTGTTATCTTTGAAGTTGGTTTTATTTCTTGATTGGTTCTATGGCGGATGAAACCAGTGAACACAGCTTTTAAAAGTGCATTTAGTTGAAGTTAAAATGATATGTCAACATATTAATTGGTTGGAGGAAGCTGGGAAGAAACCCTGAACCTAGCTTTCGTGCTAGTTGGTACCCGTCAATAAAACGTACCTGGAGTTTTGAAGACTGACGCTCGCTGTGGAATCAGTGTACATAATGTTGATTGCGTGGAGTAGTGTTCATATTGGAATTTAATCGACAGAATATGATGAACACCAAAACAGACCATACAAATACGACACAAACCACTATTCAGTGATCGATCAATTGTACATATCAGTATACTTGTTCTCCACACAACTGCATACTAAATTTCGTTTAGCTAGGTTTATAAGAATTAATGACATGTAGCGTGTTACATAATGAAATGAAAGAAAAAGAATTGTATGTATGAGTTTTGAACAATGATGAATAACAAACATTGTTCATTAACCAACTGACCTAATGCTCCAGTTTGCAGTGTTAATTGACGCGTTTCTGCATCTTTTGTAATGTAGGCCGTTAAACCAACAGCAGAACTTCCCTTGCCAGAAGTATATTGGCCACGAGGAGTAAGACGGTATACATACTGCAGAAGTTGAGATTTTGAAGTACCTGGGTCACCACATAAAAGTATATTGATTTCAGAACGAAAATCACCACGTCCTTTAGCACTGAAGTCTTTACGTGTACCACCAAATAACTATAATAGAGGCAACAGAATAATATAACATGAATTAGACACTAATAAAATAATTGAAAAGTATCGGGTTGGGCGTTGACAACTAAATTTACTTTTGCTAGATTGATTGGATGTTTACTCAATCAGTTTCTAGAAATTTAAAAAGATGGTGTAACTCAACATGTAAAAGTTATTATGTACTCATCTCTGAGAAATACACCTAAAGTGTGAGCAGGCTAGTAATACCTACTACTTGTTTGCCTACAAGTGCCAAGGGTTGGGAAAGTCACCTCTACCTCTCAAAATGCTCTCAAATGGCCACGCGTATACACAAATTGATAAGGAAGTCCTACTCAGTGCCTTCTCGCACCACAGGCGTTGTTTACGAAATTGAGAGGACGAAAAGAGAATGTCCGATGCTCTAACCGGGTTGGTGGATATGGAGGGTCCACCTAAGGGAGTTGGAAAACTCTGATTCCAAACTAATAGTGCACATGGGCCCCAGTATCCTGAAGGAACAAATGGTGTACGAACCAATCGCTGGTCACCGGCTACCATGTGACTGCATCTCCTAACGTTGCTCTACTACCTTGTGGATTAGACCTCCAGGTTGAAGGTTTGGGTAGTGGCTGACTAAGGAAACCACCTGCCTTGGTTTGGGCACCCTTGCAGTATCACAGCCCTCACACAAATCAAGTGACTTGTGTGGTGCATATGTATTCGATGCCCCTTTGTACCCATATTTATGTTTAAATAATTAATAAATAAGCCAATCCTAAAAGACTGGAACGTGTACTTGATGAACTGAGAAAGAAGTTCAATCCAATCTTAGTGAAACAGTATGTATTTAGTGAGCATAAAAACATTATTACGAATTACAAAGAGCGACACCATATTGGTAAAGTGATGAGGTTACGACTGAACTTGTCTAACATATACTATTACTTTCATTTTAGATATATAATTTATTAAAATGCAGTCAGTGTGAAAAAAAGCATTCTATACAATTCTAATATATCGTTTGTTGTAATTGTATCTACGTAAGTTGTACATTTCTGAGTGCGGTTAGGTACATAAAGCGTTGGACATTTTGACAATAACTCCCAGGTTCGAACTCCACTCTACCTATTTCAGTTCGGGCAGCTAACCAGGTAGGTAGGTATCACTAGCTTGCAGTCAAGTACACGAATCTAAAAAAATGAAACCTACTTGTAGGAGAATACCCTTTTTAATATCTTCGTTTTCATAAATTGTTGGTGCGATACCAGCAGCAAGTCGTTCATATAAATCAGGTTTACGAGCCAATGTATGAAATTCTTCAATACGTTCCTCCGTGAATTGACGTAAAATATGTGCTTCCTCAATAGAAGTATTTTCGTCAGTAGCGAGCCCATCATTTTGAACTCGATCATCGCCTTCTCGGCTAACAGAAAAATTATACATATACTATATTTAGACAGGAACAATTGTCCCACTTAAAAATAGTGAACATAAATGACCATAATAATAATAAATATAATAATAATAAACCAGGTATGAAATTATTTTGATATTTGTAGGGAGGAATAATTGCTGAAATGGATCTGATAGACAAAATTGGTTGATTTATCGGTAAACATCTTTGGCATAAGTGTATTTTCATAATCACCGGTAAGATAGGAGCAATGTGTATAGATAGTGTATATTGTTTATGGTCCAGTGATACATCATATCACACTGGGAAAGATATACTTCAACAAATCCCCTTTACAAAAAAGTAAATATCCGTTATACGTCGTCAGCCTAGTACTTGATACAAATATGCACTGGATTGAGTTGTCATACTACATTAGCGTAGTGAGATGTTGACTGGTGGGTGGTATTAGCCCATGAAGTCATTGACTGTTGGTCTGAGCCAAGTTAGTAGATGCAGACTATCTGAATGGATAATAACAATCTATGATTGGAGACGTTGCGTAACATGGCTTATAATTGGCCGCAATGGAGCAGATGGATTTCCTTCCTCCAAATATAGAGTCTGAGTGTTCATGCATGCATTTTCATGTTTTTTTCGAACATTCTTTCTGACTTTAAAGAAGGAGAATGTAGTTGTTCTTTCTGGTTATCATTGCTACTACAGTATTTCGATTCCTTAGCTACTCATCTTGTTAATTTTTCTTTCATTGTGCTATTGTGTTATGGAAACTCAGAACAACACATATTTGTCTCAGACTCTATGTTGATTATGACTAACTGATAAAGTGAGATGAAACTTACAAGAAACAATAGTTGCATCAATAACAATTAGAAAGATTAAGCATAGAGAAAATGGTTCGAAAATACAATAATGAAGTTGAGATTTACGGGAAAATGAAAAAAAAACATCCAACTAGCCTACTGGGAGCGAATTTAAGCCATATCACAGCTAATTTTAACATTACAAACTCGGTTTTTTACTATAATACGAGTAATGCTTCGAAAATATCTATGACCAAATACTAGTAACCTATACAGGTTCTTAAATTTCATAGACCATGCTTCACAGATATATAGTAAAACAGGACTGTGGAGTACATTCACGATGAACTGTATTAGCACACTATTAAATCGCAGAAAATGATTTGAAAACTAGTGTTAAATTTATGATTGTATTTAACGAATGAGATAATCAAATGTCTGTAAAATATTTTGGAGAACTAAGCGAGATTATCCATGATTTGCTTGACTACGATAAATAATGAGCGATTGAGTTACTTGATTCAATTAGCGAAATGCCCAAACGGCAAACCAGAAACTTATGTTTAGAACATTAAAGTATTCTTTTGATCTTTATAAACAAAATAAGCTTTAAAAAATCTTTTAGAAAATAATAAGATTTTTCTCACTATAGGTACCTATAAATTAAATTAGTTTGCCAGGGGAATTATTCAAAGTGAACCTGTTGTGGAGTAAGTGGATTTTAAAAATCACCTAACTGGTGTACAATTAAGATAATCAAATGATTTTAACTAAAAAACAATAAAAACACTAAAACTTACAGAAAATGAAGAACATCTATATATGTTTTGTAAACCGCTTTAAGAGTACGTTGTCGGTTAGACATTCGTAGTGGTATTGCACGATAAATACCCGTAACGATAACACGATCACCCGGTTGAATTTTATCAACAAGTTCTTCGTGAGCATACATAAGTACTGTATGAGGAGTCTGGCTAGCAGGCATATTTTCTGGAGATTCCTAGATAAGAATTTACGAAAGTAGGAATTAGACTATAATGGTAAAGAAACACCTGTCACAAGGGTAATTACATAAAAATATACCGCAATTGGCAAACTTGACCCCATAAATATCACGTCCGGCCCTCAATTCAAATTACATTAAAACAACTGTAAATCTAATCGGAATTATATATATATATATATATATATATATATATATATATATATATATATATATATATATATATATATAATGAAGTCTGATTCAGAGGCATAACAAAAATACTAGTACAAACCTGTAATTTAATCATTTGTTTATCCACAAATAAACATCGATTATGTTGTAGTTGAGCTGTATGAGCCGAATGACAACGTATGCACGCTTCTGGTTCTGCAATACGACCACGTTCACATGGAACAGATGTCATTGCACCACAGATGGCACATTTGAACTCTGCACGCATCATTTCAGGGATGAGCGGGGATAAACGTATTACAAGACCAGAGACAGTTACAAGTTGATCAAGATCATCTGGATCAAGACTGCGTAGATCTCGAGACCTTGCACAATTGAATGGACGAATCTGAAAAAACAGTAAGAATGAGACAACTAACCAGAATCAAAGGTTGATTTCTTAAACGATGTTACAATATTTCTATCTTGTACAATAAGAAACGGTGAATATGACTTCTAAAAAATGAAGATAATATCGTATTAATACTTTGAATAATATTAGCTTAAATTTTTTTAACATCTAATTGTAGCCGATCTACGTCTAAGATACATAGATTGTTTCACGTCAAAATTACGCTTTAAAAGGACTACAAACTTTTAATCTTATGGTTGTTAAGGCTTACGTTGTCTTCATATAAGATAAATTACTGTCAGTATTCGTAAGCGAAAATACAGGAGTGAAATACGACAAAAAACTAAACTTACAGACTTTATGGTGATTCAAAGAAATACATCAGAATGTAGTCTCGATTCACACCAAGAAAATTCAATAGTTTTTGTGGATCCATTCTAGAGACAAATCCTTCTTCAGAGTCAGTCAGGCATAAAAAAATAGAAAAACAACCCCTTCAAATGTTTTAATACCCTAAATATCTTAAACACCCTCCCCCAAGTATTTAGTTTTTCATCCGTAATGTTTTAAGCAACTCGCTTTGAAATGATTCTCCAGTTCCCCACCCCCTGCCCCCAAATGCCCTGGTACGGCCGAGAGTGGGGGGAGTCCGCTCTCCCTCTCGAAATGCTCTCACATGGCCACGCGTATATAGCCTCTGCTGGCGAAGTCCTACTCACCGCCTTCTCGTGGAGGGGGTGTTGTTTACGAAAATGAGAGGACGAAAAGCGAATGTCTGGCGCTTTAACTGGATTCCAAACCAATGGTGCATATGGGCTCCAGTATCCTGCGGGAACAAATGGCGTATGAACCAATTATTGGTCACCGGCTACCATTGGACTGCATCTCCACACGATGCTCCACTGCCTTGTGGATCAGGCCTTCAGGTCGAAGGCTCGGGGAGTGGCTGCCTGAGGAAACCACCTGCCTTGGTTTGGGCACCCTGGCAGTATCACAGCCCTCACACATATCGAATGAGATTTGTGTGGCGCATATGTATTTGGTACCTCCTTGTACCAATATCTTTCTGTTAAAATAATAATCCCCACCCCCTACGATTATGAAACCTAACCTGCCTAGACTCAAGATGTTCGGTAACTCTCTATGTTCAAATATCCCTGCTTCTGAAGAATTGCTTACATATGGTGGTGACAATCTAAGCAATGTCAAGGTCCGGTTATGTGTGCTCAGCTATAATGGTGATAACATTATTATTGTCATCATTTCGAAATCTGAAACTGCTTGAATTAAAATCTACAAATCTGCAACAAAACTGACAAATGAAACGACATATAAGATATATGAAGCACACTCGTCATTCTAGTAGTCCCTTTCTAGTTATGGAAAAGTTTTTTTTATTTATCTGAACTGTTCAATGTAGTTTTCGCCCAGTATCTTTTCGTTTTTATTTGTTTATTTATCTAGTAACAAGGGGAACTACTATGTGGTATAATAAAATAATAACCCATTCAATACATTTTTCTTTCGAATTCAGTTCAATATCACTGTTGAATTTCCATAAGTGAGGATTAAACCATATTAAAATTTCTAATAGTTAAAAGCAATATTTACATAAACACAGAGCTATCTTGATATATATCCGAAATACCTGTATTGATCTTTCCAACTGGACTTCCCGGAAACGGTCTAAAAATAAGGCGTGTGTAGCAGCATCACATGCTGGAATAACTTCCTTCGGAAATGTTACCAACTGCGTATACAAATCTGGCCTGGCAGAACGAAGATGTTCACAGTCAATGTCTAAGGCAGTCGAACCTGATATTGCAAGATCTTCCATTCGTTGGATATAAAGAGGTCTTTGTGGATTTATGGGTTGACCCGTTGTTAGATTCGGTTGGCCGGTTAAGTCTGGAGGGATGTAGGTCAATAGGAAGTGTTTAAATCTTGACATCACTTGAGCAATGTTTACATCGGTACCCCATATTACAGTCTAAAACAGGTTAGTAATTTGGTAAAAAGTGTAAATATGTAGAATAAGGATAAATTATTGTTAACGCCTACCTTCAGATTATTAGAGGGGATGAATTGGTAACCGCATTATCCCCAAGACCTAATTGATATCGGATGTAACAAAATGCCCAATATAGAAACCTGTATAGTGCGCTCAGTAGGGTTAACAAGCTTAATTTTTGGTATGTTCATTGAAAAAGCGAAGGTTTAGGAATATATTGTGCGTACAACTACTAAAAACAACTATGTCTATAGATGAGCCTACCTTTTTTGTTTTATTTTTGTCGAAATAAACGTGAACATCTTCATTTCTAAACGTTTCGATTCTGTTTTTTTTCGCTAGTGATTTAACAACCGTTGTAGTGTAATGTTTATTACTACCAACTTTGGTGTATCCTGTTCGTTAAATAATTTGCTTGTAGTATACAAGGCACGAGATGTCCTTCTTGCTTATGATCTACAACTCAGATATAGGTAGGAAAATTTTTAGTTCAAAGTTTGGATGGCTGAGTGGATCATCTTTCAAAACTCAACTCCGATGACGTAGGAAGTCGGTTATAGTACTGGCTTGTACCAATGGAATATTAATCCAGTAACCAGTAACAACATATATCACCTGTGTGTGAACAATCAAGTCCTATAAGTGCTTTATTTGAATGCTGAAATGTGCTTAGTCTAGAGGGCCGTGGATTGACGTATTTACATATTGCTACCTAATATGAAAAAGCCACAAATTTGATACGAAATTTTATCCCATAATACCAATGCATGCTCAAGTATGGTTAATAGGATGGTGATAAAAGTTTACAATAAAAATAACTGTACAAAGCAACAGTTAAGCATAGAAAATATACAAAAGTATCTCTTGCCTGAGGTCCACTAGCAGTCGACCCATCAGTAGTACCAGGGACACCTGTTGCGGGAACAAGAGGTCCAGATTGAGACAAAACAGCACGAACAGCCAATTCATCATTGACGCCAGGTCGAACTGAACTCAAAACATCTTCGACCCCAGTCGCCACACTAGACATATCGCTGTATGATAAAGGACTACCCGGCTCCACTTCGGATGTACGAAGACCGGATGTGGGTTCCTGTGAAAAAATGAATCCGTCGGTTACAAGCATTTAAAGGATGAGCAAACTTCAAGACACAAATTTTGGACGGACAAAAATAGTAATGACGATTTATTTTACTGAAATTCCAGTGACTTAATAACTAATAATTAAGTCAGTCATACGGAAAGTATAAACTGGTACATGTGTATCGGCTTGAATTAACACATCGTATCTGTACAGAGACGAAATTATCGAGATAAATATAAAAGTAGTAGGGGGTAAAAATATCGATTACAGTAAAAAGGACAAGGCATATGGAATGTGATATGAGGATGAATTCACAGAACTGTGTAAAACAACTTTGAAACTCATGACCTAAGGGATGAAAACGAGTAGCTGAATCTGCTTCATTATGACTTATTCCGAGTTATACGATCTAACTTCTTCAACCATTGACCGCCGGTATGGAGCGAACTCAAACCAAGTAATATGTACTTACCAACATGTTTTGGATCAACGGTCAGTGACTTTATGGGTTGGTGCCACATCTAAGCTTGTTCACCTCCAGCTTTTTTCGGACTTACTTCGACACGTTAATACTGAGCAATGAGGTCGGTGGTCGTTGGGGATACGTGATTCATGTCTTAAACACCTGTCACTGAAGATTCACTACCTCATCAACCGACTTATCATATTTACCTAGTACCCTGGATACGTAATCCCATATCAGAGAGAACTACAGAACATCCTAACTACAAATATATTTCGTAAAAAACACTGACAAACAATACTGTTAAAACAAATCCATGATAACACAAGGATACCTTATATACCATCAGCTCAAACATAAAAACCAGAAGGTAAACAGGATCTGATAAAACTAATTAAATGTATGTCTAAAAGAGAAAGAGGTGATGGGACTATAATTTACGTACGGCCTTCGAGCGACGCTAGAGTAACCTTGAGAACGTCCACCTACTTACTTGGGCTAGATGACGGTTATAAACCAGTGTGAGGAATATAGGTTACGGCTTAAAGTTGATGGTCAGGGTTAGTAATTAGGTTCAGTGTTTTCATCACGAACTGACATCAGCTAAAATGCTAGAACGCTACTTAGTCAAATGAATCAATGAATTCCGCACCAAAATTCAAGACCTGTTATCCCATTTCTGGTTGGTTCGTCCAGAAATTAAGGTTTCACCAAATCTCAATATAATAAGACCACAAACAGTTTAACAGGACTAAGTCTACTCCACGAATTGCAGCAGAGGGAAGTTAGGTAATCGAAACATGTAAGACTTATACCAATAGAAAACACTAAGCTTTGTGTATACCACAAATGCTAAGAGTTATATTATTTGTAATACTAACGTATACCACCGACTAGAGCCCCTCTTTTTAGTACCGCGCTGATATTTTAGGTTAGGGCGATAGTAAGAATTTGAGGTAACGAGGCAGCGTACAGCCAATACAAGTACGACTAATGCTGAATAGGCATATTTACCCAACAAACTGATGAATTTGTTGATAAGTTTCATAATTTTTGCGCTAGTCATGTATACATAGGTTGGCGCGTGAAGAACTATAAGACAACATACTAATTTGCGGACCGAAACCATAGAATTTTAGCTGGAAATAGTAGTGTACTGGGAAAACAAAGCTCTGAAAAACAGCCAGTAAATCAACTCACTGCATTGCTTGTAGGCTCGGTGTGTCCTGACCGATTACGCCGTGCTCTCCCACGTGTACGACTTGATTCCCCAGTTCTTTCAAACGTAGTCCCAGCACTTAACAGGTCACCTGACAACTGTTCATCGTTTGTTGCATTCCTCCGGCGAGAACTTCGTGAGCTGAGACTTGACATCTTCGGACTTTCATATACCCGCTTCTTGAAAACAGGATCTAAAACCGATGTGTTCAATTCCCAATATACAACGCTCAGTTTTTGGCACATGTTATCAAGCATTTAGTTACAGAAAAAGTCATTATAAGATTCTTAAAAATTTGGATCTTTACTGTGGTGAAAAGAATTTATGTTGCAGTCCTTTCTTTAATGATATTTCAGTGTTTATGTATTCAGCACTAATGATAGTAGGTTGGTAGAAATGCTTTAATCCTTGATATACGTTTCCCAGTAAAGAGCCACTTTTTTCTTGAAAAATGTTTACCAGTTGAGCTGATACTACTTGTTCGACTATGCAGTTTCAGTAACTGAAGATCCTCCGAAGAAAATCGGATCCCACATTGGTTGATGGGAGACTAAAAAGTCACGTTACCTATTTAGTGCCTACTCTCTTCATAAGTTAAAAAAAGATCTGTATCTTTGATTAAGTGTGGGTTAACTGCTTCAATATGGTATTCTTGGTGATGTTCGTGCATAAGAAATATGAAGTTGGGAACAGAGATAGAGTTTATTGCTAATAACATCAGTAGTGTGCATTATCAGAAATAAACAATAATGTCAGTTTTTTTACAATTAGTACAGAGGAACAATAGATACTGAATATAAATGTGATTGCATATAAAGTGTCACAAACAAAGAAGAAATTTGGTTATTATTTTGTCGTTACAGAAATCGTTGAATATACATGTCTTCATAGATTTGGGCCTAAAATCAGTATTTTCTATTCTAACCTATCTTACCGAGGCAGTTAAGGGCACTGTTCTCTAAGGAGCTACAAGGAACAAAATACTTAATAAAAAAATGAAACAGTTACGGTGAACACGCCCGCTTGACCAAGACATGTAGTCTCGATAATGTTCTCACGTCATCCTCAGGACCTTCATTACTTTTTATCGATCGTTCAACGTCTGACGTGACAACGGTTTAGCTCAACGGAAAGTTTAGGCTAAGAGTTTGCGGCGGTAAATAAATCCCCAAAATAAACAGCTCTGTAAGTTTTTGACATTGGATGCTGACCACATTAGTTTTAATGGACTCATCTAGCTGAAGGCGCTCGGTCATGCATCCGCACCAGATCACGAGTAGGAACGCCCTGCTCAACAACCCCTGCAATCGCTAGAAAGATTAGATCAGATGATCCTCGACGTATTAATAGCCTATCAAATATATCTTCGAACCTCCTCGCTTCTGTCTTTTGATTTCACTTGGTGGGTACGATTCACATTAGGTGTTACTGGTTAAAGCGTTGTCAAACTCCGAATACCCACAGCATCTTCAGTTTCAATGTTATTTCATGGTCATTACAAAGAATTATCTCCTGTTAGTACAACTGAAAACATCGGATGTGTGGTTGTATTCGATTCCTCTTGCTGAAAATTTGTTATTTTGTAATGATTGACCAAAATTACTGTGTAGTTTGTTTTGAGATTAGACGATTGAAAATGATTTGAAATCTTTTATTAAATTATTTATATACTTTAATTATCTCAGAATACTTTTCTAGCTATTATAATCAGTTCTAGGCATGTTATTTGAATAAATACATTGGTTCTTCTTTGTACATTTTTCTGATCGAATTCAACACAATCAGATAGGATATTTTAGTTTTCGTTCCCTCACTGTGCCCACAAATGCTCTGGTATCGCCGAGAGTAAAGTGGGCCCGCCCTCCCTCTCGAAATGCTCTCACACGGCCACGCGTATATAGCCTCTGCCAGCGAAGTCCTGCTCACTGCCTTCTCGTAGTGGGGGTGTTGCTTACGAAAGTGAGAGGACGGAAAGTGAATATCCGGCGCTTTAACCGGATTCCAAACCAATGGTGCATATGGGCTCCAGTATCCTGCGTATGAACCAATTTTTGGCCTTCGGCTAACGTGTGACTGCTTCTCCTCACGATGCTCCACTGCCTTGTGGATCAGGCCTTCAGGTCGAAGGCTCGGGGAGTGGCTGCCTGAGGAAACCACCTGCCTTGGTTTGGGCACCCTGGCAGTATCACTTCCCTCATACAAATATGATGAAATGTCGATATTTATGGAAAATACTTGTCTTGCTTCGATTAACAATCAAACGGTTCACATTATCATTATTATTATTACTGTTATTATTATTTTTACGTCATTTATTCACTTTCTTTCATTCCCACTTTATGTACCCTTATTTTTCGACTTATAAAGCAGCTCGCCTATGGTAGAAACTCGGTTTTATCTAAACGTCCTCGAGTCACTGCCTGGTTGAAAATTGTGTGCTACCGCCAAATACGAATACTGAAGCAGTTTTACTGAAACCACGTGCACCATTCAAACTGGCTGCCTTCAACGTTCTCACACTAATTCACGCCGGACAATAGATAGAGCTGGCGATGTCTTTAGGAAGTCTTAATATCGACGTTTGTTGTCCATCCGAGACTCGTATTCAAGACTCTGGTGAAGTACTACAAATTCGCTTTCCATCTGTCGCTTCAGAAAGCTTGTTTTACGTGCGTTTATTCGGGGACTCTATGGCATCTTCGTCTGGTCTTGCTGACGTTGGTGTCGCACTAAGCGCTAGAGCTGAGACAGCTCTAATCGATTGGATCCCCATTAACAGCCGGTTGGTTATGTGCTGTTAGATTAGAAAGTTCCATCAAAGTGAGAAGAAGTCGGCGTGAGAAACGATGTCTCTTCGTCATCTTCGCCTATGCCCCGACAGATTGCAGCCCAAATGTAATCAAGAATGAATTCTACCACCAGTTAACTGTTCTTCTCCAGAAAGTGCGTTCAACAGATGTTGTAGTACTAGCCGGAGACTTGAATACTCAGGTTGGGCGTCTAGGCACAGAAGAGAATCGTTCAGGTGGCCGATGGGGACTTGTTGGTCGCAGGTCAGATAACGGGAACCGTCTACTGCAACTGTGCACAGACCACAACCTGTATCTGCCTAGCACTAACTTTCGGCACAGTCATCGCCTATGTGCCACCTGGCGTCCTCCCTCTGCATCTCAAGCCTGGACTCAGATTGATCACATCGCGATCAGCTACCGCTGACGTGGTTGTGTACAAGATTGTCGCTCCTTTTAGAGTACCTATCATGACTCTGACCATGTTTCGGTCTGCGCCAATCTTACCTTACTTTTCAGTGGCCAACGAAGTGACCACCACCAAAGGATTGATGTTAGCAAGTTGGTTGCGACTTCTGTTGCAAGTAAGTATCGAACCGAGCTAGCTTCTAGACTAGCTACCTTTATAGATGAGCATTGGTTGCAATTGCATGGCGCCATGAAAATGGCGGGTACAGTCAGTTGTGGGTTTGCGAAACGTCCCTCTTATAAGCACTGGGTTTCCTCAGGCTCCTTACAACTCGTCGAAGCCCGTCGGCCTACACCGAGTGACCGTGAGTTTGACCACAAACGAGGGTTGTCACGTAAGGAAATTGGGCAAAGCTTGCGTAAGGACTGAGAAACCTGGTGGTCGGAGCGTGCTAATGAGCTGGAAGCAGCAGCTGCATCTGGTAATTACCGGACGCTCTTCCAACTCATCCGAGCCACCGGCAGCAAGAAGTCTGGTGTGAGTGAAACAATCTGCGAGGATGATGGGATGCCAATCACTAACATCCATCGACGTCTTGGACGATGGGCAGAATTTTTCGAAGGGCAGTTCAACTGGTCTGCTGCTTCGGCAACATCGGTCAGACTGTCCTGCCCTCTATGGCCGGTGACGACTGATCCACCAAACGAGGAGGAAGTCCGCAAGGAACTCCAACTCTTGAAGCGTTACAAATCACCTGGCCCAGATGACTTACCTCCGGCTCTTTTTAAAGATGGTGGTGACTTTCTGACTAAGGAACTGACGACGTTGTTTACAAAGGTCTGGGAGCTAGAGAGTGTACCAACGTCGTGGAATGAGTCGATAGTTGTCCCTATCTTTAAAAAGGGTTCACGTCGTTCCTGTAACAACTACCGGGGGATAAGTCTTCTTCCGACTGCGTTCAAGCTATCGGCTTCCGTCATACTTCGTAGGTTGTTCAAAACCCGAGAAAGATTGACTCGCGAGGAGCAGGCTAGGTTCCGTTCTAGTAGAGGATGTATTGATCGTATCTTTACCCTCCGCCAAATGTTAGAACACCGCCATACTTTTCAAAGGCCAACAATCGTAGTGTTTCTTGACATCAGGGCTGCCTTCGATTCGTTGGATAGGACTGTTCTCTGGGACTGTCTATTGAAGAAGGGTGTGCCTGAGAAGTTTATTAACATCTTAAAGGCCCTATATACAAACACCTCAGGCAGAGTGAGGGCATACAACCACCTCTCTCCATTGTTCCGTTCAAGCAGTGAGGTTAGACAGGGTTGCCCAATCTCACCATTCCTCTTCAACTTTACCATCGATGACATTCTGGAAACAGCTCTGATGAATGTAAGTAATGATGGTGTGGATCTGTTGCCTGGAGAAAGACTTTTCGACCTTGAGTATGCGGATGATATTGTCTTATTGTGCGATAATGCCTAAGCCATGCAATCCACACTTACTCAGTTGGCAATCAATGTCCGTAGGTATAGTATGTGCTTTTCACCCTCAAAGTGCAAAGTACTTCTACAAGACTGGTAGGATTCTAATCCTGTAATCACCCTGTGTCGTGAGTACCAAGAAGTAGTCGAGAAGTTCGTGTATCTAGGTAGCTGCATGAGTTCTGGTGATGGCGTGAGTGATGAGATCAATTCACGTATAGTGAAGGCCAAAGCGGCTTATGCCAATCTGGGCCACCTTTGGCACCTTCGTGATGTTAGTCTGGCCGTAAAAGGTCGGAGCGGTTTTGCTCCATGCTTGTGAAACCTGGCCTCTCCGAACTGAGGATACTAGACAACTTTCTGTGTTCCATCATCGTTGTCTCCGAAGGATTGCTGACATCCAGTGGCAACACCATGTCAGTAATGCATAGGTTCGGCATCGTGTGTTCAAGCACAGAGACGATAATGCAATTGGTGTCACCATCTTGAAACACCGACTTCAGTGGCTTGGACATGTTCTACGAATGTCGTCCCAGAGAATTCCACGTCGTGCATTATTTGCCGACTCTGGGACTGGTTGGAAGAAGCGGAGAGGTGGTCAATGTATGACATGGTGTCTTGGTATAAGAGAAAGCTGCAAAGGGCTGGGTTGTGTTGGTCCTTCACGATTCCCTGGCTGGGGTCCGAGAGATGATGCGACACAGTGGCTAGAGATGTTATCAAACATGTTTCAGAACTAAAGCCAGTGGCGATCTTGCTGTAACATACTTGTACTTTCTTCATAAAAAGTTGTTGTATCTTCCATAACTGAAAGAATTCTTCTGGTTGTACCTTTCCGTCTCCCTCATTATTATTATTATTATTATTACACTAACTTACACTAGTCTGTTCGTTATTCTTCCTTTTTTACGCTCCTCACCTTTTTTTTTCTCTTCGAATTCTTATTGTTTTGTGTGGGGCATATATATTTGGTGCCCCCTTGTACCAATATTTATGTGTTCAAATAAATAAGTAATAATTAATCCCCCAGTGTTTGTCAACCACAGAAAGCGAATCAAGAGTTGACACATGCTTATCGGTGAACATCTCCAATTATGTAAACTTATAGCTATTTCAATCCTAACTTATCTAAAGCCATAGAAAACTTAGATTTTTGTTTAGTCAGTTATATCACAACATCAAAGCGAAATTGATGCAAATAATTTTTGGTTGAATTAAACAGACTCTTTTCATAAATGATGATATCACTTACAATTTCTAACTCTTTTGACTGCTTCATAAACATCTTATTCACAATTAATACTTGAGTTTAATCAAAATATAGCAGTCACGAAGGAATATGCGATTGAGAACGACTACGAATGTGAAATATAAAGGAATTTTATATTACAGTTACAACAAGTAAACGATGTTCGAAAGTTGAGTGAAGAGAATTAACAATAGAAAAAGTAAGTGGAATATTCACACGAATAAACTGAAAATCTACGATTGTTAGAATTTTAACGATAAGTTCAGTAATATAGAACATGACTACTACATCAATGAGCTGAAGTGTAAATATGTTAATTTTGGTTTTCCTGGTAGGTGAAAAGTATTTTATCTGTTTAGTTACCACTAAACGAAACTTTTCAAACCTGAAAAAAGACTTGATAGAAGTTTGCTTAATATTTTCTTTGATAATGGGTATGAAAGTGTTCACTTAACTGTATATGACTTTCTGAAATCCTGCCTATACTTATGTACTCCAATTTCTAACTTTTAAACAAAGCATGAATTTTATTTTAATCTGTAGCGTGGAGTCGAGTCGAGATTGACTATGAACACCACTACAAAGGATATCCATAAAATCCCCGGTAAGCCAAGTATCAGAAGGCAGTTAACGGACCAAGTCGAGATATATTTGCTGGCGATCTCATGGTATCGAAAGAATACCGAGTTCGTGCCAGGATACAAGCTTGGTTACTGAGCGTAACCGAATTCGTGCGAGGTCACAATCGAAGTGTGTATAATGGATGTTTTTAGCACAGTTGAAAAAAGAGCACATTAAACAAGCACAGGTACAACTGGTTATAATAATAATAATTGTTTTCATTAAATCAATCGTGTTCTCGTGATAAAAGTGAGTCACTACAAATCCATTAGTGATATCTGTCAATCACAATCTTTACACTATTACAGTACATTACAATGAAATCTGGATAAAACGATAAATTTTCTTAGGTTACTTCATATGTTTAGTAAACTGAAGAATATTAACTGATTAAGCGTCAACAGTTTAGAAGTCAGAGTCGAAATAAGAAGGGTTGTGGAATAATATATTTCAAGAGGACCAGATGAATAAGCCTACTTTGATGGACCAAAACCGAATGATTCAAATTTATAATGAAGTTTATGGAGGATCTATGCAAAAAATGAATATACGTAATTAATCAGAAAGATGAAACAATTAGAAACAAATAAACACTTGGTTATTTCCAAATAAGTATACCCACAAACTTATGTAGGGGAAGTATTGTAGTGAACAAGAACACCAGTGGGAACAATCGAATGCATTCGACACAACATTTCAGGGCTGTGGTAATAAAATCTAACAATCATAAAGTAAATGCTTAATTTGCAAAATGTTCATCAGTTGTCTCAGAATGACTCAGACTTCATTGTTCTTGGATTTTCATACAAATTACGTCCTGGTTCCATTGTTTACTGTTCGATCTTCTTGCCCCTCTGCTGCCAAACCTTCTGTTCCTGACTAACATCATATACTACTTATGTCAATATAAGTATCAAACACCACAGTATTTACAAAGCAGTTAACGCAAATACAGATGTTGTAGTAAATAAATACAAAAATGTTGTCAGAAGCTATTAAAATAAGTGTTAACAAGTTCGTTCGGGGCCAAATAAATTAGCGATAATCCAAAAAGAACACTGAGTGCGATGAGTAGCATGTATGTTATTGAATGATAACCATAGCATTGATTAACACTTAATAACCAATTCTTGGCAATACTAGGTTTGTGGTCCTGCCAAATCATCCAACCATATGGGTGTGGTATGCATGAAAATCTAAATTAAAAAAGTACAGGATTTATCAAGGGAACTATTCTGTTACCATAAAATCTATGCAAATTAGTTATAAACCTAAACTCGTAAGGTATCTGTGCTAGTGAACGCGTCTGCGAATTTATGAGAGAAAAAATGATTCCAGTAACAATTACATGAAGACTATTTAAAACATAAGATAACGTAAATTGTAGTCGGAAATCGTATCTAAATTCACTTCTGACTGTTAACAATCAAAGGCTAAGATCGCAAAACTATGGGATTTATTTCAATTGAACAGGGACATGAAGAACGTACAAAAATTAAAATGTTCAGGGAATGTGATTACAATAGTAAACAAAGTTAATTATACTAAGTATACGATAATGTACAAAAACTGGTTGAATATGAAGAGAGTAAATAGAATGTTAACGAACTTAAAATTAAGTGTTTGCGAAATGAGACTTTTGAAATTTTACAATAATTTACATGCATTATGTAGGTTAAATTGTAGAAATTCTTATCATACTCCAATGTAACCTATTTTTGTCTGATTAGTAAATGTGTTATTCTAATTTGTGACCATATATTCAAACATATTTCCTTCTAATGATTTCAGTCATTTCTATTGTATGTTTTTCTATATATGATGTGCGTGCTTTGTTAGTATATGTTCATTTACATACTTTAATGTCATACATGACCATTTTTCTTATAAAAAAGCAAACTAATACTTAAATAATTGTCTATTGACTAGTAATATTCAAAGGCCACGCTATGTCCATCTATTCATACCCGGAGTCTGTTTGAATAAGTGCATGCATGAAACATACATATCTTCAACACACTTTGTATGCTAATTTTTCATCTCTGTTGTTGTTAACGAAATTAGCCGAGAGAATATATAAGAGGTTTTATGGTTTAACTGATCCCAACTAAACCACCTTTGGAAATCTGGAAGCATAGAACAGATGTATTGTCTTAGTATGGAAATCCTTAGCAGTACATGTCCACGGCCTTGTCATTAAGAATCGAACTCAGGAACTCTGAAGTCACACGCAAACAATAACCAACGATGAAAGTTGCACAAACATTACAAATCCCCTTATACGAATGATTTCAGATAATAAGAATCCCATATTTTGCTGAATAAACTATATGATGAAGTCAGTATAAAGCTATCAGTTTGTTAAATTCACTTGGTATTGTTTACTTGTATCTTCCCATTGTTATTTAGGACTGCAATTGATCAGTCTCTTAATGGAATATGTTCATACTGTGCGGACTGCCTCGATATTGCCTTAAGTCACAACCTTTATAAGCAAAGATGGATTATAGCTAGCAGTGGAATCCAGGACACGCATTTCGTCCTATTTGAGACTTGTCAGCGAACAATACTGGGTTCGAGTCCTATAGTGAATATCAACTCTAAGATTCAGGTACATTCAACTGACGGGTTCCAAAATAGGACGAAACGTGTGTTCTCAATTCCACTGCTAGCCGCCATCCATCAATTGCTTATATCAATTTATTATCTTAAACTGACCGTCTCATATAAATCACAATCTAAAAGATTTACTTTGAGTTCACAGTTCTAATTATCCAAGTACTTTACCGTTTGCAAAAACCGAGATACATATTTAGTGATTTATGTAACGTGACATTTAAGTAAAATGAACATGTAATTAATGACATACACAAATATGTACACACATTTAAATACATGTGCATATGATGATATATCAATCAGATTAATAGGCAATTCAACTAATAATAATAATAATAATCTAGAAAACCGAACCTGATCAAATTCATCTGTTAACAGGATAAATTAAATAAGAATTATCAAATTAATTTAAGCTTTGAATATAAAATACTCTGTTGTGAATTTGTCAAGAAATTTCCTTGAAAGATGAAGCAATTACTAGTAAGTATCATTAAAAAATATACTGAGTTTTATTTTATCAAATACAGTTTATATATATACATCACCTTACATACATACTTACTTACTTGTTTACTTACTTATACCTGTTACCCCTCGTTGAGGAGCATAGTCCGCCCGTTAGCATTCTCCATCGAACTCTGTCCTAGATAATCCTTTCTAGTTGTTTACAGTTGCGATTGATTCTTGTGGTCTCTGTGTTCAATTCCCGACGCAATATGTTCCTTGGTCTTCCTCTTTTCTTTTTCCTTTTAGGATTACAAATTAGCGCTTACCTCATGATTCAATTCGATGATTTCTGCAATGTATATCCTATCCACCTACAGCTCCTTAAAAAAATATATATAAATCTTACTTAGTAGAAATCAATACATTTGGATTGTAGTTAGCAGTGGAATCCAGGATGCGTGTTTTGTCATTGATGTGCACAATTAAAACCAGATATAGTCCAGCGAAGAGTTCTCTTTTCGGCGAATTCATTTTCAATGTTGTACAATCGCAAATATATATACTTATTTTACAGAATGATAGTAATTATAGTAGTACCGATAATAAAATTCTGTTAGGAAAGGTGACATTGAGGTTAAATAAACAAAGGTATTAAAAAAATTTCTTAAACAAGGAAATTTTAATAATCGCTTGATTGTTAATGGCCTAAGTATTCATCAAAAGATAGATAGGGAAATTATCATTGGGGAAGGATGGCTCAGCATGATAAGATAAAATGTTGAAATTGAATGTAATCAGCAGGATCGTAGAAACAGAAATAAACCAATTAGAGGTACAAGAATTAAGGGTAAGATGAAAAGTGAAGTAGATGGCTGTAAAGGAAGAGGAGTATGAAGAAAGGAAGAAAAAAAGAAAAAAATTGTAAGACACTAAGACCACGGTAGAAGAAGAGTTTGTATCAATCTCTTTTGCACACACAATTCTGGTTTTTCCAGATATATGGCTATTGCTTCGGCAATGCAAAGAAGATTCAACATCTACTTATCTTGTGGATGACTTTGAACACAGAGTTAGTCTTGACTGAATGACCTGTGTTTACAAGATGTTTGGTTATTGAACTTCTTACTGAGCCGTTTCCTCCTCTTTTTAGCCACGCCGAATAATGTTCTTGATTTCTTTTGAATAAAGTACGCATCTAACGACCTATATACCTAGCTCCACATGATCAGGTAAATTGATAAATGCACATTGAGTTGGTCAGATACAATAATTTATCATTAAGATTATTGGTGAACAATGATCAGCTGGGAAATACTAATCGTAATGTTGCTGTGAAGAATGTTCTTTTTAAAGAATCAGAAATTCTACTCTTTAAGATGTATGTGTCTCTGTCACCCTTAAAGTTGATGTTCATGTATAATGTTTTCTATTCTACTGTAATTATTTGTGTTTTCGGCGTTTTAATACCTTTGTTTTTTTACCTCACTGTCACTTTTTCTAACAGGATTTTACTATTAGTATTATTATCCTGTAAAATAAGTATGCATATTTGCGATTGTACAACTTTGAAAATGAATTCGCCGAAAAGAGAACTCTTCGCTGAACTAATCATTTTTATTTAATGTCGTAATGAGTGTACTCCGTTTACATTTTGTTTCAATTTATAACTCATTATTCATTGAGCTGTTGAGTCTAGATAGCTACTAATATATTTGTATCGGGGCCAATAGAAACTAAATAAATACCAATCTTAGTATCAACAAAGGAAAAACTCGAACCTCTCTCTCTACATATGTATAACATTAAATCAGTTTTATTCAGACGGATGATTCTTTTCTAATCCACTACTGACAGATCAACAATCTGATTAGTGACCAATGCCATGTTTTTCTAATCCTTAGCGTTGGGAGAATTTTACGAATTAAGTTAGAATGTGGCCACTAGTTTAATTGTCTAGAGACCACATACAGTATATTTGTATTAAATGGTTGGACTTAGTCAACGGGAAACCTCGAACCTAGGTTGCGTGCTATTCAACAATTGTTAGCATGGAGTACCAGTTATCTTGAGAGAATTGATGCTTTCTGGTGGATCTGATCATGAAGCATCCAGCTTTATTGTCTGAGACCTTACCACTGAACTGTTAGGGTGGGGGGAGTCAAATGTATTTGTTACATATCTTTTTAATATTAGAACATGACTGAGATATTTATAACTGGTTGAACACTGAGTGGTAATGAATATCATTTTTGTTTAATTCTGTCGATCAGTTAAACCACACTGCAACAAATGTGACATTAATAACTACTGTTCAGCGATCAGTCGGTATAAACATCAATTAGTTCAGTTCTAATTTCAATTTTGAATGTGTTTCGCTCAAAAATCTTACTGAAATCTGTAACAAAATAGGCAGCTGATAAGACAAGAAAATTACATAATTGGTAAAATTTTATAATGACTTCATTTTGCAAAATGAAGTATTGAAGTATGGTTTTTATACTTTACCAAGTAACTCTGTAATGTTGTGCCAAATATAGTCGGTTGTCCTCATCTGTGTTCCCGTTTACTACAATACTTGTAAATGTCCAATAGGGATTAGTTAGACAGTCTAGGTACATCACTTTCACAAATATAATACATTTAGTATTAAGTTTCACGAAAAAATATCTTTATCAATAAAAGAACCACAATATTTTTTGACGTACCGGAAACAAATGAGAAATAGCAACACTATGATACATTAATTTTGCAGAAGCTTTTAAACGACCTCGAGAATTTTTCTGTGATACAGATGTATATATGGTCGTTTGTGATTGAAAAACTGCTTTGTAAGAAGGAGAGCGAAAGTTCGTCTCAACTATCTCATCTACTGGCTTTGATTCTCTATTTTCAGTTATAGAAGGACTGTTGTACCACCCGGGTACCAAAAGAGAATAGGTTTGTACCTTATGATAACCATCTTTCTAACCCTTTACATCTTGGTCTGACTCACAATGATTAGGTAACTTAAGGACATAGAGTTTCATGGTAGTCGAGGGTCACAGTAGGTTCGCCCTTATGTGTTCCTTTAGGATTTAGGAACCCATATGAACCATTAGTTTAAAATCAAAATTTTCCAAATTTATTGAGTGGAACCTGTATGTTTATCGAAAATCCATTTTATTTATTTTACTTTCTATAATCACCCTTGTCAAATGAAGTCAATAAATAGAGCTTCTCTGAAAGAGGCTAATAAATGTTCATGGTTCTTTTTCGGGGGGAGGGAGAGGATATTATTTCATTGATAATTTTAAACAATAAGTTTCTAAAACAATTAATATTTCAATTAAAAATACATTAACAAATATGTTTAGTCAGTAGGGTAATTGTCATCCATGTAGATGTTGAGATGAGAAAAAAACATACTCGTTACAAACATATGTGATATTTATGACGCAGAACAACTTTCTAAACTTCTGCTAAAACTCATTTGAAAACGGTTGATTAAACATTTTCAACCAAACGATAATCAACTCAGATAGTAAAATAGTATCAGAAGGGGTTTTGTTGAAATTGTATGAATTTCAGTAGTTGAGATCATGAGTCAATTGGAGCTAGACCAAGGGGTCTGTTGTGACATAGTAACTCACTGATGACAGTGGTGGAAGTGTCGCTCAATTTCGTGGATTAGTTGAAGTTGGACATTAACACCACTGGATGCCGGCTCAGAGGTCTAGTGTTTAAGCACTCGCACACGAGACTGGTAGGTCCTGGGTTCGAATCTCGCGTGTCAGGATCGTGTATGCGCACTGCTGAGGAGTCCTATACTAGGACGAAACGGCTGTTCAGTGCTTCCAGGTTTTCCATGGTGATCTAGCTTTCAGATGGCTCATGATTTCAACTAGTGAAATTGCTAAAGTCTCCACAAAACCCCTTCAGATAATAATAAGTGATATCTTAATTTAATTTAAATGAACCAATCAGAATCAAGGGAAACTTTCATCTTTTTGTGCAAAATTTAATAATGAGCAATTATTATACCATGTAGAAATACCTGTATCTAATACACAGAATGGTTTATTATCATTTAAAAGAAAGTCTGTTCTAGTCATTATAGAATCAAAAAGACAATGTGTAACACGTCACGTGATTACTTCTTTCCATGTAGATTACACATAATAGATAGATCGATGGATTTTGTATACAGTTAACACTTAAATAAATCATTTAATAAATGGTTCATTGAATAATAAGCAAATTGGTAAAGTAGAAATGATGAAATAGATCGATTTATGATTTCTAATTTATGATGATTCTATAATATCCACAAAACTCGAAATTGATAATATATTAACTAGTCAATAATGACTAGCTTCTACGTTAAATTTCTGAAGTTCTGCTGAGAAGCTGGAACTAATCGAGCTCAACCATATCTGATGTGAGACAGTTAACCATCATAAACATTGGAAGATGATTGAACAATATTATGAATTGATTAAAGTTAGACAATAACACCGTTGGGCGCCGACTTAGTTGTATAGAGTCTAAGCGTTAAGATTGGATAGTGAAGATCTTGGGTTTGATTCCTAGCTCCAGATTCATAGGTGCTCACTGCCAATAAGTCTCATACCAGGATGAAACACTTGTGTTTTATTTCCATGGTTTTAATGATGGCCTAACTATGATTAATTTATGATTGAAAAATCGTGAAAATTCTTTAATCTCCACAATACCGTACTTTGATAATAACAAATACCTCATTCGTATCATTGGTCAGTTGTCAAACATTATAATTCATTAGAAATATCTCTGAATATGACACTGAGTGATGAATGTTTGAATCCACTAAGTAGCATTAGTCTTCAAAAGATAGTTTTTATTATTATTATTTATTTAAACACATAAACATTGGTACGAGGCACCAAATAGATATTCACCACATAAATCATTCGATTTGTGTGAGGGCTGTGATACTGCCTGGGTGCCCAGACCGAAGCAGGTGGTCTTCTTAGGGGACCACATCTCGGGCCTTTGACCCGAAGGTCTGATCCACAAGGCAATGGAGCATCGTAAGGAGATCCAGTCCCATGGTAGTCGGTGACCAATGGTTGGTTCGTACGCCATTTGTCCTCGCAGGATACTGGACTCTATGTGCACCGTTGGTTTGGGATCCAGTTAAAGTGCAGGACATTCGCTTTTCGTCCTCTCAATTTCTTAAACAAAACCCCTGCCAAGAAAAGGCAGTGAGTAGGGCTTCCCTGGCAGGGGCTGTATACGCGTAGCCTTGTGAGAGCATTTCGAGAGGGAGGGCGGGCCCGCTTCACTCTCGGCCATACCAGGTCATTTGGGGGCAAGATTTATGTCAACATGTACCAATTCTAGGTCTAAGGTTTTCCACCTACTATTTGTAAACATCGAGCTATCATTTATTCTCTAAAAGATTAATAAACGAAGAATATCATGCTACGAAAAACTTGTTAGTCAAGGTAAGAGTATTGTAAAAGAATGAGGTTGAAATATCCCTAATATGACCATCAAATTTTGTACCATAATCAGTAGGTCTATAGAAATCAAAGTATTTCTCAATAAAATTAATGCAACTTATTCAAGTTTAAGTATTTTAGGAAGCTTATTGGTTATTCAAGATTTGCCATCAATTTTCCAATCAAATTTCGATCAAAACATTATTACGTAATTAGTTTGGGTGTGAATATCACCACTTTCTTCTAGACACTTACCATAACAATATACAGTTTTGTTAAAAATTCACCATCAACTACAAAAAACGAGTTATATAAGTAGTTAGTGAGACAAGTTTATAGCAAAACCATTTTTTAAAACTCAAAATCTTAATGATTGAATTCATGAGTCTATTTAAACTAGACCGCCATTGAAAACCTGGAAGCACTGGATGGCCATCTTTGTCGTAGCATGGGACTCCTCACTAGTGCATGTCTACGATCTCGCACGCGGGTTTCAAACCCACAAACTTCAACCAATCGATGATCTTGTGTAACCTTTCACCATTATTTATTTTAACACTCCCACTTCACTAGCTTGTTTAATATTCAATATATTACGCATAAAATGAAAAAAACACTTGTATATTCGTATTATCTCAATGAATAAATATTTTAATAGTTGAAATTATGAGTCAATTGAAGCTAGATCACCACAGAACACCTGAAAGTACTGGACGGCCGATTCATCCTATTTTGGAACTCCTCATCAATGTGTATCCGCAACCCATCCTCACGCGATTCCAACTTAGGACTTATCAATCTCATATACGAACACTTAACCTTTAGACCACTAAGCCGGCATCCATATTTTCCATGATAGTCTAGCTTCAATTGACTCATGATTTCAACTATTAAAATTACTATAATATCCGCGAAATTCCCTTCTGATACTAATCAGCATATGCTCACTAGTAACTAGATTCAAGAGATATATCCTGGAGTTCTAGTCAGATGCAGTGACCAGTGGAGTTCAACCGGGTCTGTTGTTAGATAGTAACTCACTGAAGGCAATGGTGGATGTGTCACTCAATTTCGTGGATTAGTTGAAGTTAGACATTGACACCGTTGGATATCGGCCTGCTCAGTGGTCTAGTGTTTAATCACTCGCACGCGAGACCGATAGGTCCTGGGTTCGAATCTCACGAGGCGGGATCGTAGATACGTACTACTTAGGAGTCCCATACTAGGATGAAACCGTCGTCCAGTGTTTCCAGGTTTCTTATGGTAATCTAGCATCAATTGACTCATGATCTCAACTATTAAAATTACTATATTATTCACAAAACCCCTTCGAATAAATATTTATTCTGGAAAAAAATAAAGTAGTTTACATGAAGTCACATCATGTCATTAAGACATGATAACCATCTATTCAATACTCAATCAATTTGAAACGATCATGCCTAATCTTCATATTCATATTAATAGAATGATTTACTTATTACATTTTTTTAATCATCAATAAAGTAAACTACACTGAGAATTCATTTGAATCATGCGTTAAGTAAACAAACAAAGAATTTTGTTTTGTTTTTCGATCAATCATTTTAAAGAGTTTGAGTAGTATAACATAGTTCTATTACTCAATTGACATAATGAAAGATCAAAATAATCGATTTTTAAATGTTGTTCCAAAAAAAAAATTTTTTTGGAAATAGTTTTCTCAATTTTGATCGGTTAGTTACTATGCTATAATTTTATGGTGGGTATTTTAAAAAAAAGTTATTTATTATCAAGAAATGAATAATGCTAATTGTTATGAAATACAAAAGATATAACAATAGTAATAATAAACAATGATGGATAGTGGCTAGCAGTGGAATGCAGGACGCGCGTTTCGTCCTATTTGGGACTCGTCAGTTGGATGTATCTGCATCTCAGAGTTGATGTTCACTCTGAGACTTGAACCCAGTACCAATCGCTTCAAACTCCATCGTGTTATCCAATCAGCTACTGAATCCTGATAGCCACTTGCTTGTGCAATGGGGTGAATTTTAATTCACTTGGTATTGTTATAGTAATTGTTATATAGTAATAATAATATAAGAAAAACGAGAATTCAGTGAAGAAAAGTTTTTTTCTTTTCGACAAAATCATTTACTTCAGTTGTGCTTGCGTATATATATATAGTTATATATGAAAAATATATGTCTATAGGAGAATAGAAAAAATTGTATGATAAATCCATTCGAAACTCTTATTATCAAATGAGGTTATGCAATAATCAAGGGATAAGGAAGAATATAATTTATGGGTAAGATATGAAGAAAAATGACAAACATAAAGGTTTTAATCATAATAAAAGACTGAATAATAACCGAGCAAATTAATGTAAGGGTAGTTATAATAATAACTGATTAGAGATTAAAATTGCAAAACGATAATTTAATGACTTCAAATAAAAGTGAAGAATTAAAGAAAATAAAGACCCGAAACATACCAATAAAGGGAATTACGACCATGGAAGGATGAGAGATTGGACGAATCGTTTCTAGACTCAAACTTAGGGTTTGAGTTCGTGGATTGCCAATGCCTCAGCAGTGTATAAAATATCGATTCGACATTTCTTCCTTCAAATACATTTGACTCTGTAGATTAATTTAAAACAAGAATCATTTGGAGCGATGTGTCCACAATTGATTAAATGTTCCTGTATAGAACTAGTAATTGTTTTACATTCTCCTTTTCAAAACCAAGCAGGATAGTGTTCTGAGACGTGTTTGGAAAGTGATCACTTTTTGCTTCCAATGTAACCTACCCCACATGAGCAAGTAAATTTATAGATACACATTGATGTGGCCCAAAGCGGAAGTTTGTCGACATAATTAGTATACACCACAATGTATATCAATATAAACTGAATTATAACATGTATACATACACAATTTTTCACTGTTTTGTTTAAACAAGTTTCACAAACTCATTATTTTTAGGATTTCTTGATTCCTGAATCACTGTCTTTATTTAAATTAGTAAGATCATTAATCTTCAATGATTATTTTTTTATGTGATCTTGTTCTACAGTGGTTGAATCGATAATACTGATGATAAACTGATTCAATAAACTAATTTAATGAAACTTAACTGGATCACTTGAAGTTCTTCCATCTCTATGATCAAATCATAACAAGGAGGAAAACAGACAATACGATTTATCTCACGTCAATATATGTATATATGAATTACCACACCATAACGCGCCAAAAATTAAAAAAAACTTGCAATATATACTTGATTAGGACGTTTAGGGTCCAAGATCTGAATAAGTGTAAAACTATACTCAATATCCGTTCTTAATTTCTACTATCATCTTGCCAAGCAAGTAGAACCATACATTATTTACGAGATTTATTGTCCATTTTTGTTAGGCATGCTTAAGGGTGTGTTCGGTTTTGTGTACTTCTTCGTTGAAATAAAGTTTTTATTATAATCATAGACATTTTAATTTACGTGAAATTTCCTGATTCTATTATATTTATAGTGCTTGTAAGGTATTTGTGGACTAATTTATCAGTCAAATCTTAGAATATATATTTCCAAATAATCGAGAAAGCTAAACACCTCAGTCTACCAAACTTACTTCCTATATCACTTTCGTCAAAGGTTATTATTATGTTGAAAAATCTTAGATATACGTAAGCATTGTATATTTGATTAAAGAAGTGCCTTCATTAGCGTTTCATTCAGATAGACATGTTTCACATAAAAATAACTTTACGTAAGAAGTCATCTGTTAGGATTTGATTTTTCCTAATATTTGAGTTAAAGACTGGAATTGGTCATTCAGTTTCGGTATACGTGCACCCTAAGAGGATTACCTCAAAATCGCTATCAAACAGAAGCATTTTTGGGCAAGGGTAGATGGTGGCTAGCAAAGGAATACATGATACGTATTACATCCTTTTTGAAACTCGGGTGAGACTAAAATTTATGGATGACCTTTGAGCGACGTTAGACTGACACTGAGAGTGTCGAAAATCTGAGACCTGTTAAATTATATGTGATTGACTCGTCCATAAATTATAGTCTCACTGAAAATTGTTGTCTGGATGTACCTGGGACGCGTTGATATTGAAATTAGGACTTTAACCTGGTCCCTGTCGCTCGGAACATCAACAGGTTATCCAAAAAATGAAATGAAATATCGTAAAAATTAAGTTGTAGAAATTGTTGAGTTTAGATGAATATCATGAATGGATCAATGTTAGACAACTATTGAAAACCTGAAAGCACTGAACGGCCGTTTTATCCTAGTTTGGGACTTGTGAGTAATGTGCATCCACGAGTTCAACCGTCTCTGTTGTGAGGCAGTTACTTACTGAAGACAATATTGGACAGTCGCACAGTATCGTGGATTAGTTGAAGTTAGACATTAACACCTCTGGATACTGGCTCAGTTTTCTTTTTATTTATTCTTTAGTTAAAATCACATTATTATTGTGAAAAATATCATTTGCAAGTCAATAGAAAAATATATCAGAAGTCTTGGATACTATAAACTTAATTGACATTGAGTACAACTCGATTGTCTGAATAACAGATTTATGATTAATTTTAAGGATAAAAAAGTATAAAGATAATTTCGGAATTAGATGAAAGTTTACAATTAGGAAAATATAGAGATCTTCATAAATTCTAAATTCTAGGCAAAGATGGATAGTGGCCAACAGTGGAATCCAAGACACTCATTTCGTCCTATTTGGGACTTGTCAGCTGTCAAGTGGCTATAAGGACTCAGTAGCTAAATGGATAACGCGATGACGTTTGATGCGAACAGCACTGGCTTCGAGTTCCAGAGTGATGCAGGTATATCCATCGGGCAAGTCACAAATAGGATGAAACGCGTATCCTGTATTCCACAGCTGGCCGCTATCCATCTTAAACTAAAAAAATTGTCATTCTCATTTATTTGTCTCATTTTAAAAATTATTTTTGTTTAGATAAATTAACTTTTGATCCCAGTTAATCTGCTCTATTTAAAAAATGTTTCTATCTCTTTTTTTAAAGCTGTTTTATATTAAACCATTTATACCGGACTGTAGTCATATTCCATGTGGTCCACATCAACATTGTGTAAAAAGTATAGCTGGAAATGCTACATGTGTTTGTAATGTATTTTTCGCTCCGGAAAATATTGATCCCAGTATTCCACTTGATTGTCGTTGTAAGTTATTTTGTATTTTTATGCATAGTCACAGTTAAGTAATTCTCTTCAATAGTAATTTTAGCAAAATTAGACCATAGTAACAGCTTTCTGTGACCTTTTTAAATGATGTTGTGAAATAAGATTAAAGTTTTATCTAATTAAAATGTAAGTAAAATAAATTAAAAATTTATTGTATAAAATCCCCGAAATGGTTAGAATCTTGGATTAAGATTTTGGGTTAGATGTTTGGATTAGGATCAGGTTAGAATTTAAGGTTAATGTAAGAATTCCTGGCTAGGGCTGGGAATAATGGTTAGGAATAGAATGAAAGAATGTAGCTAAATATATCCGTACTTATGAAGTCAATACTTTGATTTTAAATGTTCAGTTTATTTGAATTATCTTCAAAAAGTCGTAATATATGGTCCCTATTTTTTAGTCTTCTCATCTTAATAACTATAAGTGTCTTGGTGACTAAACACTGGTTGATTCATCTTAGCTTTTAAAAAGCTGTAAACTCTCTGTTATCGCGTTTTAAATTTCGTACAAGAATCCAGTAGTTGTTGTCTTAAATCTGATTGTTTTGTTAGTAAACGTTTATTAAAGTTTCCATTATTTAACATTTTAAGTTAAAGTGTACTTTAGAGGATTCTTAATGTTTTAAGAATTGTTTGATAGCCATATTGTCCAAATAATGCAAAAGCAGCCTTGTTTGATTAAATGTTAATACATTCTAGTATTATATAATTATACAATGTTCCTAATTTAATTTGCAATGGTTTGGATTATCCTGTAGTTGATATGTTGACGGAAATTAAATCAGCCTTAGTTGGCCTATGTGCATCCTAAGCGGATCAGATCAATATAGCGATTGTTTCACAATAATTTATAGAATATGTAGAGTATGGTTAAAACTGAAATCCAAGATGTGCGTTTTGTCCCATTTGTAACTCGTCAGTTATATGCACCTGATACAACTTAGTGTTAATATTCAAGCCCATTACAAATGTCATTGAGCTACTGAACTTACTAGCTAGATGGATAAAGCGTCTGAGTTGGAAGCAAAACATAGGGCGTTTGAATCCCAGAGTGTGCATCAACTCTTTAATGTTGCAGGTACATCCATCTGATGGATTTCAAATAAGAAGAAACTTTTATAGTTAATAGGAAGATAGTGAATGAGGTAAATCTACCTCAAAAACTGAAAAGCTATCTAACATATAAAATCAAGAACTCTCTGTGTATATGGTTCATTGAGAGGTGTAAAAAAAACAACATTTGACATACTTATCTCTATGTTCGACAGATTTTCAGTTTTCTTCAAACTGTCAAAGGGTTTAAAAGATGTCTATTATTTGGAATTCAGACCGTGTTCTGTGTTTAAACGGTGACATTATTGAAAGAAAGTGGATAAATTAGCTTTTAAAAATAGTCTTTCGATAAAAAAAACTATTTTTTATCGCTGTAATATAAGTTTACTATCAAAATTGACCGTTTTTTGACAATTGTATGATAAGTTTTGAACTACTAATAGAACACATTAAAGGATCCTCTGAACAATCGCGTATACTAACAAAGACTGATCAAACACACTCTTGTATATCAATAACGAGGAAACATAAACCTTTTCTAGGAATAATATTTATTAGATCATTAAAAACCAGGGAGCACTGTATAGCTGTTATGTCATTGTATGTGACTCCTTAGTAGTACGCTAGGAGTCGAACCTAAGACTTTCAGGCTTGTGATAAGTATAACTGTCAAGTGAAATCAATTTCAAGAAACATTTTTAACCAGTTTGTCATGAAAAAAGTTGGGCCATCATAATCAATATATTATACTATACAGTGGTATTGCAATTTTAAATTTGTTTTGTTTTTCTATTTTTCTATTATCCACAGTTAGTTGGGTTACTTTATTGTTAGCGGTGATCTTCTCACTGTTGAGCTTAATTTGTATTATATGGATTATAGGTGCGATGTGTAAAGCATGCTCAAGAAAAACACAATATAAAAATGTCAAACCAGTGGATCAACCAGAAGAAAATGGCGAATCAATTAGATCTGTTCGAAGTTTTATATCAATACCTTATAACGCAGCACCAAGAAATTGTGACTAGATGCAGAATTCGATGTGATTTTTTTTACTATGAGTAAAAATCACATAATCTTTGATTAACTGATTACTCAATACTGTTATTATGTAAAACATCCTTATTTTGTAGTGCAATTTCTTATTTTGTATGAACCTAATCATGTCTGTATATTAGTGTGGATCTACTATAATTTTTATCAAGAAGTCAATAATACATCCATGCTACGCTAACCAACTGTCATTTACCTTAATTTATACTCAAGTTAATTAGTTAAACGTTTACAAACACAGTTGTATTTCATCGATGAAAGTCATTCAACTAATTACGTACTAACTTAAATAGTAAAACATTAACAAGCTAAATAATAAATATATTTATTGTTATGTCTTAATGAGTAGAAAAAATTGAATTTTTGATGTTTCGCAACTTAATGTCGGTCACTTCTTCAGAATAAATAAATAAGTAACAGAAATAAATTAACACAAGTTCCTTTGTGCTATTTAAACTTGTATGAATTTGTTTCGATTATTTATTTATTTATTCTGAAGAAGTGACTTACATTAAGTTACGAAACATCAAAACTTCAATTTTTTCTACTTATTAGAATATCACAATAAATTTATTTATAATTAACTTTCTACTCAATGCTCAATTTATTTGAAACGATCAATTTCAATCTTAGCATTAATACCTATAACAAGGTAATTGTCTGGATTCTGTAAACAATTGATTGATTCCAATTACTCTGTACTGAGTAAGATTTATTTATTTATTTAGTTAAGTGGTGGTTTTCATTAATGAAAGCCATAAAATCAATAAAAATCAGCGATTATTGAATAACTGGTTTGTTTTGTTTAAAAGTTTAGAGATATAATAATTATCATGAAACCGAAATGTCACATATTGAGTCCTACTTGGGTTTTTGAGTACATACTATATTGAAACAGTTGTTGATCAGATCATGGTTGACCGTAAATTCACTCCACGTCTTTCTTTTTATAATACCTTAATATTCTTGAGAAGTAATGACATTTTATTTACAACTGAGAATTGAAATAAAATATCATAAATTGATGTGGAAGAGTGGTGAATAAATTGTCACTGAGCCCTTGTCAAAACATTCATCAGGAGACCACTGAATGTCAAACAGTTTACCGAGAATTGTCAGAGGTAACCTACGTGGATCGGTCAGTGGGACTTCATAAAACTGCCGATAGGGCTGCGGCTCTATTATATACTTCCATAGTCTTTCCTCACAATACGTTTCTTTAGTACGGTTACGTTTGTTCTATACAGTCATCGAAGTAGTAAAAACTCCTGGATGTCAGTAGCGTGTTGTCCAGGTTAGATTTTGACTTCCAGATGTGACTTTGATGTAAGGTAGAAGGTCACATAATCCCATCCAACTTGAGTGGACCTCAATCATTGACATCGGTTATATACACCAGTGATATGCAAACTAAGTCAATTATTGCACAGGCTAAATGGTTCACTACTATTCGTTTAAATCTGTGATTGACTTCAAATTATAAATTCTTTATTCTCTATGGTTGTATCTTGTCACCATTTGGTTACGTTGCTTTTGATTTGTAATACTATCTGAAACCCATAAAAGTAAGCAGCAATCATTAAGATTACGGCTCTTATGGAAAGCGAATTATCTTTGAAGACAGCTTTGATATTGATTATATTGTAAACACAAGTCGCAAAAATAAATATATTGCCTACAAGCTGATTATTAATAACTCTTGACTATTTCTTAGAGCGTATTACAATAAATTAAATAAAATATGGTCGCCAATATAATCTAGATACCAGTATTAGAAGGATTTGAAGCACAGCGAGGTTCTAAAAAAAGCCACTCTAAACTAGATAATTGATTTATAAAATAACACAGGAAAGAAAATGATGTTTAAGGAGATCTATAAATAGTTATTTTGGTTTGTTGATTTGTGGTTTTATTGATTTAAACACGAGTTTTGAACTCATGTGAGTTCTAAAATTTCATATTTTGGAGTAAAACGTTTCTGTATTGTTTATTTTTGTATGTTTAGTAATCTAATCCACCGTTCTTTTATGATAAGATGGTTGTTTAACTATTGACTGGAATAGAATTAGCATGATTATTTACACAGACAAAAAAATTCTCCATGTGAAATTAATTATCCTTTGTTTTATCTATCGATCACATGTAATTCAACTCAAGGTATTCGACAAACACCTAAAGCGACCATAAAAATTTGTTAAACGAGCACTGACAAGCAAGCAGCTTGATAGTGAGTCATAATTATGACACCAACACATGTTATCAATCACAGGTTAAAACAACGGAAAGCCTGCTACTATGCTTATAATACACTAACACTATACCCCACCTAGTTTTACTTCAGCTTTGTCACACAGTGGAGTCTTGTTTAGTCACTGTGTAGCTGTAAGTGTCAAATGAACGAATCCCAATTTGAATAACTCGTTCTCCAAGGTATCAGTATTTCAGATTTATTGATAGAGTTATTTAACTTACAGTGAATAAGTCTCTTTTGTACAGTGAAGTCCACTGAGAAGTAGTGAGGCCGCATATCCCGCACTAAACATATGATTTTGTGGTTGAAAAATAAAGTTTTTAAAGAAAATACTGATGAGTGCTCATCCATAGTTTTGATCGTTTGGTAACTTCATACAATTTGTAAGTTGCACTTCGCCAAGGCTAACATCTGGAAAACAGAAGGTTCTTGTGTAGGTTGTAACGTAAAGAACTCATTGAAAACTCCTCCAAACAATTTTATTTATCAGTATTGTTGTCTATTTGTTCCTTTTCCCTGTCTTGTATTCTAACCTTTATTCCGGTTTCTGTAACCCATACTTTATGTTCCTCAGTCTTCATTGTCTGGGCTTCCATCATGTGGCCTTTGTTAAAAATACACCTTTTACTACTTAATTTTACTGTTGCATGTTGACGGACCATTGACAATTAGGTCGCGTTTCACTAAACTCAAAGTTATGGCGTGGAAACATTGACGAAATCCTTTCAGAAATATATCTGATCTCATCTTGTTAGAAGTACTTTTATTGATTCTCGGGCAGTTAACTCTAATTTGTGTTAGAGAAACATTTGATTGTGTAGCACAGGCTGTACCGTTCTAGGTATTTTGTACTTGTGATATAATTTGTTTTCTTTCTTAACTTAGAACCGTTTAAATTGAGCACAAGGTGTGTATTTTGATTCAACTTAATACGAGCCATTTAATATCGCTTCATATGGTATACCAAAGAAAGTAGTTTGGACTAATGGAATAAACGTCATTTCGTTAGTTTTCTGTTCAAACCGAATATTGGTATTTCAGCCGTTAGGTAGGCAGTCAATTTGATCAATAAAGTAAGCTCAATGGGAGAAATTGGCCAGTGATATATACGGTCATCACTTATTTACTAACGAGCGCGTCAAGCTTACCCAACAAAGGGGATTATTTGTATACGCACAGTAAGGTAAATAACGGGAAAAATAACATTAGTGTCAGAGCTTTAGAGTAACTTCATGCTTGGTAAGAAATCAGATGTACATTCAAGATTTTGTTTGCCTCGATTAATCTGTATAACTCTCAGGAAGATTTCATAACGATATAAGATATCCGGTTGAGTAGTTTGTAGTAAACTTACAGCTAAAATGTAGCACGAAAATTCGGTACTAGGAGGATAAACTGATTCCCTAAAACTAGTCAACAGTTATACTGTAATCTTATGAAACGTTATTCATTCTAAAATCAACATAGATAAGCACATTGCACTGTTTGTATGAAATGATGATAACTTCGTGCATAATGATGCAATTAAAAATGTTAAATCTTTGTTTATACCCATTGACATATTCCTGACTTGAATACTGGTCCATTACTAACTAATCGAGTGGAAGCTGGAAATAGCCATTCAGCAGATCGAATTTTAATACCTCTAATTATCATGTATAAATACAATAGCTGAGATGATTCTGTAGTGGTATTTCTTCAAGCCACACAATACTCAGAGCTAAACACAAGATAACTGAGAAAATTTACATTCAAAATTTAAAATGCATAGGAGTTAGTAACGGTGAACGAGGCGATGGTCACTCAATGTAACTTCTTGCCTTTTGTACTTGATATATTACTCTCCTCCGAGTCCGATTGTGTTTTTCAGGAGTTCTAGACGTCATATTGCTAGTTTTCACGATAGGACGAGTCAGTATAGACAATGATGTAACCTCGATGTAAGATCTTGTAGATCAGGTAGTCTACATCATGACAAATCTAAAGTTTGGGAATTATGTCTATTATTATAGCATCAAAGATAAATATACTAGTATCGAAGTAGACGACGATTCTACAACTTCGCTGAATTGACTTCTCTGAATAACTAGATACATTTGGCAATGTGAAACCGACAACTTGGAAAAGCGACCAGGTTCTATCACGCTCAAAGTACTTATTCACGGATGGACGATTTCAGGTTAAATTCTTCACTTACTCTAGCTTTCGTTTACAAAAATAGTCATGTAGTGAACAAGAACACGGGTGGGGACAATCGAATGTATTTAGCACAAAAATTACAGACTATCTCAATAAAATCTGAATACCATAAAGTCAATCGTCAATTTGCAAAATATCAATGCATCATGTCAAACTGGACTGTTTCCGTTGCAAACACTAATCCATTGTCTCCCATTCCATTGTACATGCGTTTTCTTACAAATTCCATTGTGCTCTCGCTCTTCCTTTCTTGATCTTCACCTCATCTTCTGCTGCCAGATATTACGTTTTAACTCGCGACATATACTACTTATATCAATATAAGTAGCACACACCACAGTCACAGTGACATAGATCCCTGATTTACCCATAAAATTTAACTATTGTTCTCTAAAAGCCACAGGTGCTGTCATTTCAAAGTCACAAAAAGGTAGAGTGAAAAGTGTTCCACAGTTCAATACAAATATTCACTAGAATTTTTGTGGATCTATATCTCTCCCACGAACAGACTATTTTCATCATATC